TACCACTTATTTTTTCGACATCTGCATCCCACTAACGCAGCCTCGGTCTACCGGGTTTTCTCTTGCTACCTGGTTCTGACTTGTGAGTTCAGTAAGGACCTTGGGGTTCTGTCGTCCGAATATATTAACATTTATTAATAAAATAAATAAAAAATAGCGGACGGGTAAATTGAGTCAAACTGTTTGGGTGGGAAACGAAAGAGAGGCAGATAAGATGGTGGGAGGACGATAAAAAAGAAGGTCCAATGTGGATTCCAAACGCCACGATTGGAAAAAAATTAGAGGAGGCCTTTTTAATCTTTATCAAAAGTTGGTTAATAATAATATATATATATATATATATATATTATATTGTCAGTTATATATAACTGACAATAACGAATCAAGCAAACTTCTTTGTTAAAAACGAATTAAATTTTGATTCAAAATGGCTATTTTTACAATGCCCTTGTACTCTAGAAGTTCGTAACATAATTTACTATAAAGTACATATACATTAATTACATTTGCATTGCTCATCATAGCAGTGAATCATAAAATTATGTTTCATCATACGTTGTTCACTCTAATACCTTTCGGCTCAGATTTCTAGTGCATCTAAATGTACACATATTTTTATAGATTTATTATTAGTTTTTGGTTAAGAATCGCTGAATTATTTTACAATATTTTAACTTCACGCAACAATAGGCAATGAGTGGTATTGAGTGTTTTTAATATCGATTATTAGGTATTGATACGTGACGCAAACAGTTGATTTGTCAAATCGACGTTGTTGTAGGTACTATACAGGTAAATAATGTCTACGGCTGTCTAATCCTGAAATATTTATTTATTTATAATATAATATGTGTTATTCAAAATGATAATTAACACCCAAATAACGATTGTTTTATCAAACGTCAAGTTGTTTTCGTCATAAGGCATGGTGCGATGCCATCTTGTCTAAAGAAGCATGTGGCGGGTTCTTGAAATTACGAATTTTTTACAATTTATGTAGGCTACCTAAGTATTTAGAAGCCAAGCCCACCTAACTAAAGCCCCTTTTTAAGAAAGGGGAGATTTGTCACTCACCGGGTGCATTCACGGCCACAGCCATTGTATTAAAAAACTATTTAAAATGGCCCCTTATAATGTTATACTAGATACTAGTACTTCGCCAAATCGTGTTTTCTGGCAAGACTGCAATCTCTTTAACCAAAATCAAACATGACAATTTTTTTATAAACAGTAGTTGAAGTCCAATAGTATTTTCGACATTTTAATTATTTAAATTAAATACTCGTTTTTAGACCTTGTATATTTCCGATGATTTTTATATATTTGTATTAAAATATGTCTCGTTTAGACTATGTTGTTAGCACTGTTACACAATATTTATTTATTGACACTTCGTTACCTTACAAAAACATAAATAAAGAAATAAAAAAACGACGGGTTGCACTCCGGGAGTGCCGGCAGAAGTGAAAACTTGAATACTAACGTTGTGCATTTTTGATATTTTGTAATGGTTAGGAAATAATTTTGCACGAATTGCTTTAATTATTAAGATCAAAGTACTATCATTTATGTGGTAGAATACAATATTTATTTATTGCGCTATCGTACACAAACATGACAATTTATATTACATTAAATATGCCGCGCCAGCTGTCTACTCTCCATCCGACTTACGAATTTTCGATCAGGTCACGTATCCTGACGCGAGTTTAACATTTTTTACCCATTCCAAAAAAGTGTCCAACGCCGCTAAAGAAGTTTTCACTTCAAAAAACAAGTTACATAAGTTAGGCAACGGGCGGCCTTGTCGCTTCTTCCAGGTAAAAGTATTTAAAAATAATTAAAGAATCATCTACAGATGGTAAAGTACAAGAAGTGCATAAATAATTAACAATAAATACCACGATACTAACTATAACTAAAATAAACTAAAAACTAACACAATATTTAAACATCAACACACTAAGAAGATTTGTCATTGGAGAATCAGGTTGATTGCCCCAACCTTTTAACTAATTAATGTAAATTTCGTAACTTCTAGATACCCCAGGCTTACTTTTTGTCCCTCCTTTCAGAAGATCGCGTTTTCACCTATATCCAGATTGAGGATTGAGGTCTGGATATCCATAGTTGCTCTCACACTTTGAAATCAATTTTCCTTTAGTTTTTATAATTTATGAATCGTTTTTTTTTTACTTCGTGGTTGTTGCTGCCAATAATAAGTGCTTGTCACATTAGATATTGTATTTGATTTTTTCTTGTATCAGTGTGCCGAGTGTTGGCAAGTTATAAATAAATGAAGATACGGGCACGAGATTTAGAATGTGTATGGGTGCACTTTAGTCAGTTGTTATTTTAGACTGTATGTTAAACGTTAAATAACTTATAAAATACTCGTTTCTTACGAAGTTAACAATAGTTAATTTAATTTTCACAAGATTAAAAAACTAAGCAAACTTAACTTTTTACAAAAGGTTTTCTATTGACGTTGTGTTTCGCTCGTTATGGCTTTTATAACAGAAATAGCACGCGTTCAAGCGTTGCGTTATTGTTAAAAGGAGGTCGTTATTGCCGTGATTTTTTACTGCATAACATTTTCACGAGTTTCGGGAGTTCTGATGCAATAAATATTATAAAATTATTGTACAGACTTTTCTGGATGCTTATTAATACACGATCGCGTGGACGCTCCTACTCCTCGCCGCCTTGACTGCCCCGATCTCCTATCTCAAACGTTCTGTCCCTAGGTGGAGAACAAAGCATACTACTCTTTTTCTTTTTCGGTTAATACAAAAAAATTACTTTAATAGAACTTGTGTCCAATATATGATATATTTTTAAAATAGTATACAAAATAATATATTAAGTACAGTGTTTATTTTTTAAAACGAATTTCAATGGACCTATCATTATTATTAATTATAGACTATAGAGAGATAGGAAGGGAAGAATTAATGTATGGGTATTGGGTTTTCGATATAACGAATGACGTTATAAAGAGTTTGCACTGTATATACTCTCACAAATAAGCACACACATATAAACACATGCACACCAATTTTATAAGCATTATATTTTATAACAAGTGTTTACCTATGGGTGTGAAACGTGGGAGGTCACTAACGAAACCTCGCACCGGCTCCAAGTCTTCGTCAACAGCTGACTTCGCCACATTATGGGGGTCTACTGGCCCGACAAGACCTCTAACGAGCAACTATGGGAACGCTCCCGAGCAATCCCGATTAGCCAGCAGATCAGGCGACACAAGTGGAAATGGGATAGGCCATACACTCCGAAGAGATTGGAATTATATCACCAAGCAGGCCATTAATTGGAACCTGGAAAGTCAGCTTTCCCAAGCAAACCGTATCCGCAATTGTACGGTGCCACCGTACAATTGCGGATAAAGGCAAAGAGAGCCGGAAATACTTGGAGCTAGGTGAAATACGAGGCTCAAGACCGAACGCGATGGAGACCATCTGTGGATGCCCTCTGCCCCATTTAGAGGTTATAGGACATTAACTTAGTAAGCGTAGGGCGTTCATCGTAATTATTGGATAATTTTACATTTGATTTTGTAATTTTTATAAAGATTGCTACCTAAATAAAAAAAAGATATTCCTTAATATAACGAACTGTGAATGCCTATAGTTTAGAATGTATAAGGAAACGGACTAGTCAAGGTTAGCGTCAATGCTCCATTTTTTAGAGCATTTCATTATGACGTTCTTCAAATCTAGTCCAGTCACTCAAATTAAAAAAACTGTATTAATTTATAATTTATCTAAGGTGTCAAATGAGTATTTAAAAAAAACTGAAATAAATTTAAAAAGTTTGGCAGCATTTCCTGGAGGTATTGCGATGCTTATTCGTGGAGCCAGGAAGGACCAGCTCTTGGGTCACCGGTATTATCTTTTATATTTATAGTGTATTCATTTAAAAATAACGCTCTCAATAATTATACAATATAATTAAATTTTAAATAATAATGCAATTTAATATAATACACAATATAATTTTGTGAATCGAAATCGTTACTCGCGCAAGCCACCACCCTTAATTTTATGACAGAAATTCGGGAGTGGCGGGATGTGGGGCGCGGGCGAAAATGCGGCCCGGGTCGCGGTACTCACGCACTCCTCCGCATTGTAGTGTTACCGTTTATTCATATTTTACCGAATTATAACCGAATTATTGATTTAGTAAACAAATTTTATTGTAGTGTTACAAATTTAGCAATTATAAGGAGGTTCAAATTAAGACAAGTTGAGCAATAGTCTACCTGATAAAAAACACCACGAAGGTATTATTACAAATCGGCAACGCGGTTGAATACCTACAAGTAATTAGGATACAGAGGAATGTGTAGTGGCTAAATTCAATAATATTGCTTCAAATTACTACTTATAATTCTGATACTTGTGTTACGATAGTAACACATCTCTGTATTCTTACATGGCTATTTTGCGTTTTACTACACTTGCAACACAGTTTCCATGTGCCGACTGCCGTTTCAAACTTCAAACTTAAAAAAATAAATCGGCCCTAACACGTGAGGGGTTAGCATTTAGCGCGCGACGCGCGTGTTCTCCGGTCCAAGCTTCGGGTTCGGGCCTCGGGCTTATGATCTCTCTGTCCCACGGCAAGTTGCGGGACAACTTCCTCCCCCCTACCCCGCGCCAACACCGTATTACAACTTTAGTTTTATCGGAGTCGTTGCGTACCAAGCACGCTGCTCGTTTACGATACCCTTTTGTTCTGCTACACTTATATCGATTGTAAAAACGAAAGTTTTGCAAATATTGACAATATAGTGAATGGGCCGAGGTCAAATAGTGGTAAACCGAAGAACTTGAACTTAAAAGCAGTGTGTTTTTGTCAGTCTCGAGCGCTCTACTGAGGAAGTTCTTCCGTGATTTATGAAAAAGCTTGGGATAACGGAGCTTTTATTATCCGCTGTGCGGTGACTCATCGAGTGCAATGTGATTTGTGAACGAGAAATGATGGACGTAGTGAGTGAGTCTAGCAAGTGGCGTGGAGGTTTCCTCTCCACAATAAACAGAAGTTTTCGCCTCAAAAAGTTAAATTCTCCGGTAGAAAACAAGACCATTGAAATGCCTACGGTGAGTAGAGTCACGGCGCCGGTCTGGCGCCATATCTCCCAGCAGCTAGCCTATATTATAATATACGATAGCTCTCTACTTAACTTGTAGTGAAAGCCGAGTATTTTTAGAACGTAGGGTTAGATAAAATGTCTATTTCCTGGCTCATGGCATGCGTCGTATTGTTGTAAATATATTCCTTGCATAATTAAAGTCAAGGGTTCATTGTTCTAAAGACAATGCGTCCTGGCTGTTTTAGGATGTTGTCATTGTGTGTGTAATTAATTCTTAACGCATTAGGCTGTTGGCTGTGTGCGACTACATATTTATGGTTTTAGATTAATTCCTGGGGCTCTGCTGGGATCATGTGTGCTTGACGTGTTGATAATAATTTATTAAACCTTAAAGTTCTGTCATCGGAAGGATGAGTTCTTTTTTTATTCGTTTTGGACTTCATAATACATTTTTTGCCTTGCTGGCCTTGGGTTACATTCGCCACGGGCAAATACATAGGTATTATTCGTAAAAAAATAATTAATCCAATTGTACCGTTTTATCCTTGATCAGCCTGTTTACGACAAAAGAGTGCATTTAGACTGATTTGTTTTTATGAAAACGGGAAGAGTATTATCTAAATTATTATTATTATTTATTAATACACAAAAGCCACTAATCACCTCTTGGGGAACTTAGCCTAGTCCTCGTGGGTTTCTATCTCGAACATATATTATCCGTTTGTATTGCGATGAGTTTCATTTTAGTACGTTTTATAAGAATATGATTCGCAATAAGCATTTTAGTTTAGTAAATAAGAAAGTTATTATACGATATGATACTGCTGAATGAATCATCACATCTTCCAAGACGGCCGGTCACCGAGGAAGATTACGACCAAAACCTTCCAGCAACACCATTAATAAACCAACTCATCAACCGAAGAAAACAATCTAATTAACCAGCTCTACATAACCACGTACAATGTTAGAACACTCTCCTCATACGAACGTCTAATAGAACTTACTGAAGTTTTTAAAAACGTAAAATACGATGAAGAAGATATTAAAAGAATAGCTGGCCCCAAATGGCAGCACATATCGCAAAATAGAGAAAACTGGCAAAAACTGGAAGAGGCCTTCACCTGAAGAGGGGTTCCTATACAATAATTAGAATATCAATAACTGTAAATAATAATACTTAGCATGATAGAAATATAGTCATAATATTTATTCATTCACTAATAGATTTTGTTAAGTTTTGCAAAGGTTTAGAAAACCACATAAAGAAATGTACCTTATTAATTAACTACTTTGGGAAATAAAAGGCTTTTTATTTTTATTTATTTATATGATACTGCTACGGATAGTTCTCTTATAGCTAGATATTCAATACTTCGAACTCATGAATAATCATACTTTCTTAGTATCATATCACAAACACAGTCAAGGGTATATTATAATAATTATCAGAATCCTCTTCGTAGGTTTAGTACCGAATTCCTGAATTCAATTCTTGAAGGAACTTGCCTTGGAATGCACAGGCACCTAGTTTTCTATTAACAAAGTAATTAAGAACAATCAAAAGTGCGTGCGTTTCAATTAAATGTTGACTCTATTTTCTTCCTCATGAAATTGTTTAGATAACCGACTGTAGGTAGTTCGGTACATGGTTTATTACGTCAAAAATTTATCAAAGACACTAACATTTATTACAAAACCCAACTGATTTTAATGCGAAAGTTCTCAAATTAGAGACAACCCTCAAGCAAATTTAAAGTAATTGTTACCACGTCTTAAGTTCAGAAAAAGTAATAATTCGCGAATGTCCGGTATACTTCTATAGAAATATTGCTTCACGTCCGAGGGGACAAGGTGAATCACTTCACAAAATCAGGTTAGCATGTTCTTATCTATACCACTTATCTTTGCAAAGTATTGCACTGCAGAACCAGCATCGTAAATAAATAATTACACATTTCAAACAGCTAAATGTTCAGGTCACCTAAATATTAACTACAGTTAGAAAGAAAGAAAAATCTTTATTATTCGTAATGAAAAGGGATGTGTAGTAGAAGTGCACTAGCTCATAGCATTCCCTGTGTCCTGGACAGCTTTCCATTTAACATAATGAATTTAGGTACTTGACGGAATAAAGTCTTCTTTCTTAATTTTATAATTTAATAAAGATAATTTTGTTTACAGTTAAAATAATATAAATGACGACAAACATTTATGCCGTCATTTATATTTTAGCCGTAAAACCTTACTTAATACTTAAATAGAAACGCCAATTACAAGGTTTACAGACATAACAATAATATAAAGAGAATACGTGTAGGGTTTGAGTGTGTATTTGTGTATGTAACTGAAGCCTTTATATATGTAACACGAAAATATGCAAAAACATAGAAATCTAGACGACATTCCTATTACCTAACTGTAACCATACATATCGACATTTTTAAGTTAATATTATTATATTTGAGATAATGAAAATTACAAATGATGTACATCAATTTGTAATTTCACTACTTTGATGAGTTATACCGATGTTCCCGTAATGATTTTGTTTCTTCTTCCTTTTTCTTAGCATGAACTCAGTCAATAATAATCTTTTAAGCATTACAATCGAAACCTGAGCAAAAGCTCATTTAACTTTGCAAACTAAGCAAGCTGGTTTCAAATTATGCTTATATTAATTAATAATTAATCAATATTTACGTAGACATAAATATTGACTAAAGGCAATATAATACTGACAATTGTTATTGTATTAAAATATGTTATAGTAAACTGTTTACTCAAAATATTGTCTAGAATCTGAAACTATTTACAATCTATTCTACACATATACTACTGTGTATGTGTAAAGCATTCACACACACATTCAACATTATTTGTAAACATATGTCGCCTGTTAGTTGTACTATTATCAATTTCTATCAAAACTATGATCAGCCACGACATATATATTTTTGCATTATATGGCCATTATTTTTTATAACTTATATATAAGATATCAGTTTAAAGTTATGTGTCTGTATTTTAGGGTCTCAATTCATCCACTGAAGCTTCAAGCATGCGACCCCTGGAGATCGTAGCTCCAAGAATAGACACATATCGGTTCTCCATGGCCAACCTTGAAGAGACCCAGGATGCTGATCTGGATGCCATCCTTGGGGAGCTATGTGCGTTAGACTCGGAGTACGATGAGGAACTGTCCAGGGTATCGGCAGGTAATTAAAATTATTCGATCTCTAGGAAGCGCTGGCACGATAATAGAGTTTTGACATTATCAGTAATTAAACAAAACTTCATTCAAAGACACTTATTCTATGCATTAAAAAGGGTTGTTTTTATGATGGTGTCGTCAGGTGGTTCAAGTTACTGATTTTAATTTGCTTTAGAGATTTTCCAATGGAAGAATTGATTTCTTTTGTATCATGACTTGGTGAGAGATTCTTTGGTTGGGGCTCAGGGTAGTGAATTATTAGAGGTGGTAAAGACACGAAATTGTAGAATGAAATGTCATAATTTTACTATGACTTCCCTGTTTGTTTGATCGGGTGGGGTAACTTATATATGTAGCTATATTATTTCTAGTTATAACTCATTTCCTTTTCTATTGCTTCCATAGCAAAGGTAGGGTAGTATTTCCTTATATCTAAGACCTTACGTGAGTAGTCCTTTTTACTATAGCTACCTTGAGATGGGGGCATTTTTTGTGGAAGATGGCGATCTTCTTCCCCAACGTAATCGTTCCTATTTTAATTGGTCTTGGCTTGTTGCCTCTTTAGCAATTTTTGTCGTAGATGGCATTGAAATTGATTTTTAACACCTCCATTTCTATTCCTTTTAACCCTCTTCTTCCTCCAAAATTCCAGAAACATTTACGTTTCCTTGTCTCAATTTTCTATCAAAGGTTACTACTACTTTTTTGTAAGCTTATGGCTGTATTTTGCATCAAATGGACAATATTGGCAATATTCTTTAAATTTTCTATCACGTTTTTTTGACTGCTAGTTATCGCCACCTATTTGTTCTTGAAGAAAGCTAAGCTTATCACCCATGGACTCTGATATATGTTGGTGTCTAGTAACGTCTACGCTCTTAAACATATAGGTATATCACTGGCTGTGGGTGGTTTACAGAATTGAAAAGTGGAATAAAGTTTATTGCTGTATGGCTTTGATTAGTAATTATGTTTAGATGTCGGCTTGTCGCTCATTGGTAGATAATATTTTATCGTTTATAATGTGGGTAGTTGTGTATTTTTTATAAAATTATAGATTTTTTTATTTGAAAATACTTTCTCCACGTGTCACACAAAATGTCTAACTAACAGATTTCTCAACGACTTCGAAAGACCGAGTGGACGGAGAAGTTGCCCAGCGTCAGGACATCAAGGAGACAGATGGTGCCTCGCACATAACAAGGACGGACTCGCCTGACAACGACTCCGCCTTTAGTGACACGGTCAGTACAATTGTTATTTGCACTTGTAAGCTAAGAAATTCATGCAGTACGGACGTACTTATAATACGTACTTGGAGAGTAGTTACAAAGTCCTTAGTGAAAACTCAATACATTAATAATGATCTAAGATTATTTAGACACTGTGCAAAGTTCTAAAAAGTAGTAGTACAGTTCTAGTTCCATGAACAAGTTCGATAATACGCTTCTAAAGCAAAAATTTTTCGACTGCCCTGAGAAGGTATTTTGTAGTCAACCCTTGAATGTGATTTCTTCTTTATATATTTAAGATAGATGTAATATTACCTTAATAAATAATGTATAAGGAAAAATTATGTTTTCGTTTTTTTTTTATTCCCAAACTAACAATTTCTCCTAATCCTTACGGCGTAATTGTGTGCCTTTCTTCCTAGTAAGGAGGACTTATTCTAGTTTAAGATTATGTATCGACGGCCACCGAACCGTTCCTTGTGGTACATATTGTTTAAAAAAATTGTTAATTTATCAGGTTTCAATGCTCTCGAGCGAGTCGTCGGCTTCTAGCAGTGCGAGTACGAAATGCAAGCCTATGAAAATAACCCTTCATCCCAATCAAAAGGTATATTAAAAAATATGGCTATTTATTAAGTTCGCTTTGTGTTCTTAGTAATTATTTTATAATTAAATATGTTGCGTCAGCCTTGGTTATAAGTTATAACTAATAATGTGGCATTCAGAAAAAAAAATCGCAAACTTTGTTAAAATACAAAGTTCTTAGATTTGGGTCTCCGATTTTTAAATTTTTTTCATGATTATTTGTCAATATAATGGGCAACTAGGTATCAGCCTTCTCCTGACACATATGAAATGATTTGAAACGTCTTCATTTGCTTAACAAAAAACCCGGGCTGTTTTCGCAGTTCAAATAGTCCCTGCAATCTTAATAGACAAACGCGTAGCATATAAGCTTGATACATACGTATTGCTTGTATAGGTATGTTAAACCTGCTACTGTCACTCTACAGAAGACGAGATATTTTGCTTTTAGCGCCATTATAGCCTAGGCTCATATTCCATATATCAAGTTACATATTTGCTCTTATTGTCAAATCTTTCTGTAAACACGATCTCTAGACAATACAGTTAGCTTAATGTTCTGGAATATGTGACATGTAAAGGTAAACTTGCAAACTTTAGTTATTAGAAAATAACTCGGCTTTGTGGCACAATATTTTATTTTGGCATGTCGTAGAATCGCTTAGTAAATACTCAAACTTACAGGGTACCCTTTATCAACAGAAGGCTGATAAAATAAAAATGGCCTTGGAGCGAATGAGAGAGGCGAACGTCAAGAAACTTTTCATAAAGGCCTTCTCAACTGACGGATCGTCGAAGAGCCTTCTGGTTGACGAGAAAATGACGTGTGGCTACGTCACCAGGTTGCTCGCTGACAAAAACCACGTGACCATGGAGCCTAAGTACGCGATCGTTGAGCAGCTCCCAGATTTACACATGGGTAAGTTTTGGTTTTGAGTGTAGTGGGTGCAGCAACGGTTAATCAAGTTTCGTCCTACCTATATTATTATAAATATAATCAGTGAAATATAGTGCAAATTTATGTTTAAAACAAAGTAACGAATTAAAAAAAATTTTGGTGCATAAACGAACAAACACTGGAAAAACAACATTATATATATATTTATTTTTATAGAATGTATGTCAATAAGATTATGAATATATGTATGCTTAGTTATGGCCAACCTATACTCGCCCCCTTATCGATCAACGCCTCACTTGTTCAGGGTTCAAAACAAATCTTAAATCGTAAACCTCGGAACTTAATAGACAGATGCGGAAGTTTATGATGAGCTGATAAGTATTTGTTATTCGAATTACTTTGTTATATTTTTTTAAAGGATCCTTTACCTTTGATACGATAATTATATTTATGTGTGAGATTACGCCTTGTTGAAAAACTTACAATTTATACTGACTGGGGTTTAGTGGAGAGATGTTTAAATAACTAGTTACGCATTCGTAAGGGGGTTATTGGAGATACACACAGAACTCTCGTGTTGGAATCATGTGCGGTGCGACTACTAGAACTATTACTCCCCAGTACTACCAGGAGTAATCGGGCCACAGAAGTTATCCTTTCCTCAGAATCCTTCTAATTTCCAATAATTTAAACATTTACGTTCTTTAGCATGGCAACATTGATTGCATACACACTAAAACAGACTAGGCTACGACAGAACTTTTTGATTAGAAATAGGAAATTAGTGTTTCATTCTATTTTAGTTTAGTGACATTAAATCACGTGATATGTCCAAAACTTGCAATTTCCAATACTTGGCACTCTATCTGCGCAGGATGGACATTTCAATATATTTTCATATTTAAAGCATACTGTTGTTTCAGAACGTGTGTACGAAGACCACGAAATGTTGGTGGACAACCTAATGCTATGGACAAGAGAGTCGAAGAACAAAATACTATTCGCAGAGCGACCAGAGAAAAATTTACTTTTTCAAACACCAGAAAAGTTCCTACTTAGCGAAGATGATCGAGGTACTGTATGACTGATGTAACATTTTTTTATATAATTTCATTTTATCTCAAAATTCTGTACAATAGGGAAGTCTATAGAACCTTTTACAAAAGGGTAAAGGCTCCTTCCGTCACATTATTTTCCATGATATAAATATAATGCCCGAGGAAAACAAGATATTTCACGTTCAGAGGGTTTATTACGTCTAAAGAGGAGAAGTAATGTTTCCATAGCTCTCAGTTCATTCTAAACTCCTAAATCTATATTTGTTTAACATATATTTTTTTCAACAGGTTGGTCCAGCGACCACGACGATAACTTACGACAAGTCATCATCGACGATTTCTTTGGCCAAAGCAGCACAACTCCATCAATTTCGGGACATACTGTACCACCCATGGAAGGCTTTCTCTATCTGAAAAGTGACGCTAAAAAGGGATGGAAGAAGTACTACTTCGTACTAAGACCTTCTGGTTAGTATGTTTATATATTGCCCTGCGCGAGAGCTCATGCGAATGTACGCTATAGGCTTAGTTTTTATATATGCGTCTCAAACTAAAGGCAAGGTTTCTAAATTGGTCGATGCAAAATTATTCCTTGTCTATAGATATTTATTTGTCTTTATTGTAATGACACCATTGTATAGTGACTAACTGATTGAAGTTTTCTAAATAATATTGGTTATTTTGTGTAGGCCTATACTATGTGCCGAAAGACAAGGTGAAAACGTTGAAGGAGCTGGTGTGTCTGGCGACATTTGACAACAACGAAGTGTACGTTGGTGTTAATTGGAAGAAGAAGTATAAATCGCCAACTGACTATTGCTTCGCGATCAAGCATCCGAGACTGCAGCAACCGAAGAGTGTGAAATTCATTAAGTTCCTCTGCGCTGATGACCAGCAGACATTGGATAGGTGGATTACAGCGATGAGAATAGCTAAAGTGAGTAATTATTTATATCATAGCAGTGTATGGCAAGAAAGATCATCTCAAATATCTTTGGAAAGCATTTAATTGATTTGATGTTTTTGAATAAATAAATTTAATATTAATAATTAAATCTCCCATGCCAAGGTATTAGGTAACAAATATCACTTGTAAATATTTTGATTTTACGAGAAACAAATATAAATAGAAATGTCGTATTTATAATGTATTTTTACCTTATTCCAGCATGGAAGACAGCTGCTGGAAAACTATAGATCGTTGGTAGAAGAGCTCACTCAAGAAGACTTAGATCACTTGGCCCATGCACGTTCTTGCTCTGTAAGTTATGGCAAATCCCATTAACCTTCTTGTACACCTACGTTTGTCTATGACTTAAATTTATTTATACCAACTTTTTCCATATTGCAAAATTCCTTTAATATTCCTGAATAACAAATTAATTACACTCGACTTCAGCTGCTACCTGGAGCAGTAATTGAAGACGTCCAGGTCGCACCTGGAAGTATTACTGTTAAAAATCGTAAAATTAATAGAAGACGCGGTAACCCTTACTCCAAATAATAAATATTATACAGCTTGCTTGCAAATATTTGAAGAATATTGTCGAAATAAAATGTGTATAAAGGTCGGATTGATAATAGTCCCGACCTCTGTGCTGTTAACCGTTTAACCATAGAGAAGAGAAAGACAGCAGAACGTTTCTCTAGCACTTGCGACTAGTCTGCGTGAAAATTTACTCTATTACTAAGATTAGTCTTATCAACTCTTCCTTCGTTTCAGATCTCCTCAATACCAACTAAAACCAGCAACCCACCGATAGTAACCAATCCAGTGCAGCCAACATCCAGCAATACGAGTGTTGCCAATTCCGATATTAGTAGTGGAAGGTCGGTATTAATATATTCTGGTTATGTTTGTCAAAACAAGATGGCTTTTAATCGGGTGACAATGATATCATAAATAAATCATTAAACATTTAATTATTGGTATTAAAAAAGAGTTTTAGTTCAAAAAAACTCTTAAATAAATGGTTTGGTAAAGTTTCATTAAACTTCATGGGCGAGCTTAATCGCTCGAAACCGAAGCTTTAAGAAAAAAGCTATAATAAGGTATTTATTTTATTCTTTGTTAGTATATGGATACCAAAAGCAGAACAGTTGCGAGAAAATCACCTCAGCCATCACAAACTCGATTAAAAACTGAATCATGAAATTTTATAAATTTAGGTCCATACACACTACGACAATTTTTTAACACTGATGTTATGACTTATGTGTATTTTAATTTAATTGTTTTAGTACATTTGTGCATGTTGCGAAATGCTGTGCGATTTTATTTGAAAAGCTAAGCGTGTACCTATTTTCTAAGTAATATTAGACCGGTTTGAAAACGGCTAATTGGCGCCACATTCAAACAAATCAAAATCTGTTAAAAATTCTGTAAATACATCACAATTTATTTACTAAAGTTCAGATGTGTGTTATACTTCAGCGTTTTAAAACAAAATGGTGATGAGATTAAATGTGTTTATAGTTTAAACTAAAGCGGAAAATCTGTTCACACAATACTTATGTATCTGCCCTTGTATTCTGTAAACCCAGGTTAAGTGAATTCGAGTCGATATCCGTTCGAGTTCATAGTATTTGATGTTCGATTAAAGGTTTAATGCAAGTTAATAATTTTATAAGAGAGGTTTTCGTTGTCAACAGACATTCCCGCGCCTCGTCATCTAGCTCGAGCGGTTGTCTATCAGATGGAGGCACTGCGTCTGAGAGTGCTTTTGATTGCGAGTTTCCTATGGGTAAGATTTATTAATGTGTGTTCTTACATACCAAGGCTTTTAATTTTAGAACATTTTTTAGTTACAACAACGGTGGAATTCGACCATAAATTAACATTATTGTAATGTATTTTCATCCAATCTTAAATATTAAAATTCTTCTTCTGGTGCCACTTTATTGCTAAAATTAATCAATTGAATTGCCGGGCATCTTGCGCTAGTCTAAAAAGCTCCTTGGAAGTCGGTGGTTGCGGATCTACGACTTCTTCCTTCTACTTCTAATTAAAGTCTATCTCGCGTAAATTATTATATAATGACTATACATTTAAAAATCGATTTTTTTTAAAACTTTTTTACCTAATTTAAATTTAATTAAGACTTTGACTATAGGTACAATCAAACGCAAGCCATCAATGAAACCGAACATTCCCTTGACCTGGATGACACGGCAACTTAAAGAAATGGCTGAAAAAGACGAAAGTGAGGGAGGTGACACCAGTACCCTGACCCGAAGACCTCGCCAGAGGGATGATACCCTCAAACGGCACGCAGGTGAGAGCTGGTGCAAACCTGAAAACGAACCAGGAGATTGTAGCACTCTCACCAGAAGGCCTAGACATTCTTTAGGTATGCTTTTATTCAATTATGTTTGACCGCCCATTAACTCATTTGGACACCAAGTGATTTTTTCTTGTATTTTTATGGCGTGTAAGTAAAGTTTTTTAGGTTATTTTAAGTGAACCTGTGTTCACTTTGCTGTTCGAATCTTCATCTGTTTATAAAATACTCGTGTACATCAAATATTTGAGATAATAAATATTCTGTAGTGTAATAGATCTTTTCTAGTAAGTATAAATAACTGGTTTTTTTTCAGATACCTCCGAAAGCGCAGTCTACAGTAGCAGTAGCATGACGTCATCAAGTCCCGTCCATGAATCGTACGGCATTTATGAAACCATTCCTCGTGACACCTACCGCGCTAGTGTTGACACCGCTTCATCGCTTTACGGATACACCATTTATGATAAAAGTCAAGTAGAAGAGTTCCCTCCGCCTCCTCCAGAAGATACCACAGTAATGTTCAGCTCCACACTCAGTCTTGATTCGTTACCACCGCCACCACCACCCCCGCCTGCTGAATCAGTCGAAGACATTTCCGGGTCCCAACTAAGCCTGCCGCCGCCTCCACCAGAAATAGAAAATGCCGGTAGAGTACAAGACATCGTCACGCAACTCACTGCTCAGCAGATAGAACAAACAGCACCTAAGCGATGCAGCAAAACCTTCCCAAGGCAGCTGTCACTGGACAGCGTCAATTCCGAGACTTCGAAGTCATCCCTACATTCCGACAAGAGTCTAAGACAAAACGCATACGGCGCTTGCTTAGTCGAACTACAGACCAAAAAGCTAAGTAACGGCAGCTCATCGTTACAAAAGAAGTTAGAACCAGGAAAAGAGCGGTCAAGCTCCATGAAAAAAGTCAACTTTGCTGATGATATTCCAAGCGACAAGAAGAATAAAAAGATAACTTTCAATTTAACAGAGGCTCCGCCGTCACCCAGAAAACCTATACCTCCTCGTCGAAATGAAAGCACCAGATTATCGTCTCCAAAGAAATTAGCAGATTCGAACAGTAACCCACCCACAGATTTCCTTAAAGATTTACAAAGAGTGATGAGAAAGAAATGGCAAGTTGCGCAGAAGTGTAAATTGGAGCCGACGACTACGCCACACGAAGTACTGGGGTTCAGAGAGTATCCGCTATCAGACGACTATAAGGAGACGAGTGTATCCATGTGGGTTCAAGAGCACTACGGGGCTGGCTCTGTGGAAGATCCGTTTTACGAAAACGTGTATGGAAGGGAAACGATGCCCGTGAGACGCGAGGAGCCAAAGCCGATAAAGAAGAGACCCCCTCCAGCCCCCCCTAAACGAAGTGACTCTACGCATTTAACCACACAACCAGGTGTTCACCTTCCCCACACTCTGCCCACTTCCAACGCTCCCCCGCATCACGTTCAACCGACCGCTTGATTTTTTGACTTTTCGCTCGCTTGTTGCTGGACGAAAGGGGACCGCAAAATAACTGACTTTTAGCGAGCGAAAGTGTAGTGTTAGTGTAGTGATCTGCTCTCTAGTGTTCTCGGCGAGGCTTTGAACTATAACAGTCTGCGAGCAACATTGATTAGCCAACGCATAATCATTCAATTTGAGAGTGGTTTAAGGATGGATGTACGGCCGGCGGCAAAAATCTTTGTGTAAATAGTGAACTGATGAATTTTATCTTCAGAATTTTACAGTGTTTTTTAAGGATTTTTTAATATGTTTTTTACAAGATGCATGAACTAGGCTACCATTTGAGCCCTCGTATACTTTTTGTACACTTTCTAGGAAATTTAAGGCCGATAGGAACCAAATGTTTAGGAAACCTTATTGATATTAAAATTTTTGTAGCCGACTGTACTAAGGGATACGACCAATGGTTAATTAGGTTATGGATAAAATTGAATGACGGTGCTATTGTGAAAAGTATACTAATGTAGGTGAATGTACTTGTGACTGCAAGGTTTTACCAAATATAATTATATACCGCTTGCTTCTAGGCTAAGATACAAGTATCTTCTATTTATTGGAATTCATTTATGTTCCTAGTAGTTGCTCTGTCCGAGTAATTAATTTTTCAATTGCTACATATCTTGTTCCAATCTTCGAATGTACTATACGACCTACTCTACCTATTCACTGTCACTTTTGACAGATTTTGTGAATGACAAATGGTCACTTGAGAGATGAAAATCTGTCAAGTGGCAAAATGTGTAGTAATTGAGTATATTAGCTATATTAAACCCCCGTGTACACGTGAAATACCCCATGTATATAAACTTTTTGCCAAGGACCATTATTTGCGCCGGCGCATTGCTGATCTCACTCCGATTTTTTTTGTGGCTGTGACGAACACATGGCGAATTGACTTCTGTGACTGTACCGTGAAATATAGGTAGCTGGGGTTTGATTCCATTGTAAAATATATAAATATTATTCTGAAAAAAATACTATCTATAAATTAAAATGGTAGCTAAAATTGTCTATATGTTATTTTTATGATATTTTAGAATGGAAACGTCTCAAAATCATAGCCGACATTTTGAATCATTTAATGCCATGAAATTTTACAAACTCCATTTCTTAAACAGACATTTATGAGTGTTTGAACATCGAATCATATCCCAGTCACCAAAGCTTCGTAGATTTGATTTATGATTTCAAAATTAGGATAAAAGTGTGAGGCTTTGTAGGAAAATATTCAACTTGTTGGTTATTTAAAATTTACCTTAGTATATAATCTCGAGTAGTTGAAATTTTATGCAAATAAATGTTTATAATTTAAGACACGGAATTTCGTTTTTTTTTTAATTAAAGTTGATACCTCCGTAATTTACTGTTATGGATAGAAGAGGAGGTTTGTGATGTAACAGATTCAAAGATCAATTGTGGACGCCCCACTGAGGTCTTTCAATGTGAGCATTCCACTCATGGACTGACATTATTTAGATTATTCGTAACTACGAAAACTCACCCATCCAATCCTCCTTTTGGGACGTAAGACTGAATACATGTTCCGGGATTTTGACAATAACATTGCGTCCAAAATTACTTGACAAGTACCATTACTGCCTAAACATCGCCTCTCAACTTAACTAACATATAAACTTAATGTATAGAAATAATTCTGCTAAAACAATTAAGCATTCTTTATAAGTAGAATTTAAACACTTAAAGACTAACAAGATCAATAGGAGTTTATCTATGGTGTGTATAAAATAAACACTGATCGGGTCACTACTACAATTATTCTGGATGTGTATGTACACTTTAATTCGGTATTAAAAAGAGAAATGAACATAAAGCAAAAAACTACGTTTCGTAAACCATTTTCATCTTATTTATCGTAAATAAGATCTTGATGGCATTGTATTTGTTCATATCTCTTTTGTAAAACCAAAGAGTTTTCATAACTGTTCTATTTTATTCATGCATGTATTCTTATACTGTGGTTAAATTATTTAGAATGTAAATTAAGATATAATATAGGACCATCTGTGTGATGACCATATTTATCTTGAACCCATTCTTGTGATTGATGTGAAGAGACGCCTAGAGGAATTGGAATTAATATGCTTCAATATTACTAAGATAACAGACGCATGCAGTGTAGTTTTAGAATATTGTAGATGTTTTAATTTCCTGTTTTGATATATTAAGTTATATGTATTCAATTGCGGTTGGGTGCGTACTAATCCGAGATGTTCAGGTCTTAATCTAAATAAATACAAATATTATCATCCATTACATAACACCTGAGAAACGATTGTAAAGTGTCGATGTGTAAAGATGAAAACAAACTATGATGTACTGAGTTCGTAATTTAATGAATTTTACCTTTAACAATATTTAGCAAAAACATTTGGAAGACTGGTATTATCTTTTTTTCTGCAATGTATCTCATTTCTTTTCATATACTATTATGCATGCCGCAAGCTTAGTTGACTCGGGGAACATTCCTTGAATCGTCACCCGTGGGTCAGGTAAGTGTGCGGCGTTTACTGATGTCAGATGACGTCCAAGTCATGAGCCCTCCAAAAGTTGTATCCTTGACAGCTATCGTATCGTATAAAGTGATTTGCGTGTATTTTAAGTATCGTAAAACGCATTTAATATGTTTAAACTGTACAGAACAAACTAATTGTAATATTATTAATTATTTTTCAAATATAACGAAATTCCGATATAAATGTATTTTAATTTTAACCTTATTACCTTGTCCTCACTGAATCTCTAACACACGAATAGAATGTGCCAATTATTAGGAAATCACATAAGTGCAAATTTAAACTTAGCTCAGGCTTTGCTGTTGCCGAACTTAATACCTAATCGAGGTTGTGGTATACAAGGCAGATCATAAATATACGTTTTTTTTAAATAAAAATAAAATATTTACTTTATTATGAAATATAAGATACACGTATCACTTATTCTACGTCATAAGTCATCTTTCGACATCATAATATCTTCTTCAGATAAGTGTAAGCTAAGGCTAATAATCTAAACTTTCCAATCCAATACCTTTTATAGAGTCGCGCTTACTTTTCTCTTCTGACTCTTACCCTAAGTACGCTTTAAGCTCGCTCCGCTGAAAGGAAAATGTCCGTTATATTAATAAGGTAAGGGACACGTAGGTGACATGACAAATATTAAATAGCTGTTTGAGGTTTAGAGTAGGTAAGTAGGGATGAAAAAGTATTTAAGCTTGCGTTTTAATCATTGTAAATATTTATTAGCTGTGCTCTTATTATATGTATGCTGACATTTATATTATTTGGCGTTTTAAACATAAATATTTATGATTCAGTTATTTTAATTTTATTAATAGTATATTTTGATAAAAAATGTCAAGTTAAAAGATGGACAGTGAAGGTATCTACCAGATAATAATTTTTATTATTAGTAAAGTTCAGTTCAGTATTTGGATACGTCATCCGTTAGGTACTATATCTTAATGTGAGGTCTTGGTATCACATTGCTACCTCCTTCTTTTTTAATTTTGTATCCCATGACAATTATCGGTTGTATGATACGCAGGTTTTCTCGAATAATTCCGTGGTGCACAGCCGAGATCCAAATACAGGACCTCAGACTAACGTTTAACCTCGTAATAGTAGTAACCCGCTGCTTCTATAGAATATGAATATATATCATACTGGTTCGAATATCCACCTACAAAATCAATCCTTTATTAAATTCCCAATGTGTGATCTATTTAGAAGAGTGTAAATGTATAAGAGTGGGAGGCCACCTCGAGGCTGTTCGTTGGAATCTATGGCCGAGATCATATCACTCCAGTCCTGGGCCTTTGGCACTTGATGACTGGACCTCAGACCCACATATTTGGCTTTACTATGTCGAGAGTTCGGATGGATTGTTACCTGAAGATGACGTGCTAAGGTAGACGTAAGCAATTTGTTTTCTTTCAAACCATTGTCATTATTATCTGATAAGGAAAACACGAAAAACTATAGAAGCTAAAATGGCCTCTTGCCCAACAATTAACTTCATACTTTGGTAATAAACGTCAGGGGCGGTGTGAGCTCTCGACGCTGTCATGGCCTCATAAACGGTAATGTACTAAAAACTGCTGAGCACTTGGTTCAAGACCGTATTGACTAACTTATTAAGATAGTACCGCCAGAGTTGAACCTCTTTTAATTTATTAGATAGGCACTCGTCTATAGTTAAACAGAAGTGATAGATTATAATGATTCAATCCTAAATTAATACTAGTATTACTCGCTTATAATAATAAAACTAACTGTATATATTGATCGTGCGACTCCCATCCCTGAGTTCGTAGGTTCGAACCCAGGACTGCACCATTGTACTTTTCTGTCTGTGTTTAGCCTTCCCTACTACAGAAATCTCAGACAAATACCAAGGATTGTAGCGCCATTGGCTTTTTATAATCAGTTAAAACATAGAAATGTTGCCTAATAAAAACATACACAAAATAACAATAATCAAAGAAAAAAAAAATATAATGAGAGAAATAAAAAAAAATCCCTTTTCCCATTCGGTTCGTTTCAAGTGTGTAATGCGTGTGTGCTGTGGTTATAATTGGCCCTGGCTCAGCATTATACTGAGGAGCACAATCTTTCACAGCGCTGGTCATTCTGCATATAATAGCAGCTAGTTTGCATCAGTATAATTTTACACAATTTTTCTAGGTCCACAAACACTCAGTACTGGTCAATACACGATGTCCAACGGTATTTCATTGGCGAGCTGCATTGTGAGACGGTTCTCTTCACGTACCAGTACCCCAACATTCGGATGCCAACACGATTGGGCAGTTATTTCTTAAAAGCTAATACTGCACTTAAGTTACCCACAGCGCTGTATATGAAAGAATTGTTTAGATCCCTAGAAACAACTTTGAAGGTAACATAACTCAAGAAAAGGAAGGCTTTTATTTTCTAACACAAATATCTCAGTCCCATTTGTGTCCAGAGTCAATGTCTAAACCAGTGGTCGTAATTTCTGCGAATATTAGAATTGTTTAAATTTCTATAGAAATCTTCATCAAACAAAAGAACATAAATTTTTTGAGGTTCGAAAAGCGTTTCAAAGCATTATCTGGCGACGCCAAGCCCACCAGACCTAAGTTTAATCATATAAAGTAACTTTTTAGGATAGGGGACACTCCCCAGCTGCCTAGCTTCTCGCCCCCAGATCAGCCTGATCGCGTGCCTGAGGAGCTAATATGTAGAAGTCCTATAATTATATAAAATTAAAAAAAAAACATTTGGTTGTTACCCTTTACCCTAAAACTTGAAATTTCGATTAAGGATTGCTTATTTAGTGAATGTATACAAAGATCTATCTGGTATTTCTAGAAAATGGTGCAAAATCAAGCGCAGATGCATCGACTGATATTCTGCGATCAACTTATTCAATTAAACAGACTAGATTACTACAAACGAAGGACATTCTTCAAACTACTTGAGCATATACTGAGGTAATGTTAATTGCTTTACAGAAAACGGCAAATTCTACTTAAAATAAAATCGTGGCTTTAGAAAATTGCTATAACTTTTGTTTAATAAAATGATTAAAAACTTACGTGTACGTGAATAGTAAAATACAATTACTAATAAAAACATTATTAATAAATTGTATATCAAGAGAAGGTTTCGCCTGGAGTAGTTTATAACATTTTAAAAATTGATTCAAATTAACCAACTACTACCAACAACTACAACTACAACTGCATGGTAAGCATAATATTTTTTATTAAATTAACAATAATTATTCCTCGTATAATTTTAGTTTCCAAGAGAACTTGCAGCTGGTTTCCTTAGAGAATATGTGTTGTAGTCGCCTGGAGGGTGTACGTCTAATACAGCAGTTAGCTTGTTTCAATTCTCATTCACTTAAATATCTGTTTTTGTGGCGATTTGTCCTGCCCAATGAGAACCCACTTTTGGTCAACTACTCTTATCTAACAGGTAACTTAATTAATAATAGAATTAGGTAATTTATTTGCAAATTAAGGTTTAATTTTTATGATTGATAAGTGTTTTTGAAGACGGGACAAAAAAGGTGCATTGATTAGCATCCTCAAAGAAATAAGTGAGCATTGTTGGCCTTCAGCTTCAGCGTGCGAACCTCATCCCTGAGTTCGTAGGTTCGTACTCGGTTGTGCATCAATTGACTTTCTTTCTATATGCGCATTTAAAGTGCGCTCCATCGGTAAGGAAACCGGCTTGCTTTACACCCAATAAGTCGGGCACAGGAGGCTGATCATCTGCTTGCCGATTAGATTGACAAATGATCATGAAACAGATACAGAAATCTGAGGCCCAGTCCTTAAAAGGTTTTAGTGCCACTGTTTTTTTTTAAGTAAGTTACAAATAATAGCTGTAACATGTACATGTAGTATCTATCCGACAACCCATTTTTTTTTCTAAATTAATTATGATATTCATGGAGTGGAGAAATAATATTTATTTTAGTTTTACAGTCTGACTAATGAGTCTGAAACAAATTAAAAAAAATCTAGGATGATTTATATAATTTACAAGTCGGCCGCTTTTTATTTTTTCTTAATAATTGCTTTAAAAACAAAATTGTATAATAAACTACTTACATATAGAGCTAATTAATAAACTTCATAGACAAGTTGACAACGTCATTTTTATATAAATGAAAAATGTACACGTGAAGTAAAAAATACTAAAATTAAAATGATACTATGCGGTCCCTTACTACTCCTGTGTATTCCTTGTTTAAAACTATTGTGTGTGATTGTTCCTTGTGCCTCTATTCTTAGCGTGGTTGGGATGTATATGGGTGGCGTTTTTTCGACATTCAGCAATACTACTAATGTTAAATTGAACACGTTTATAAATAACACATCGTTTTGATAAAATCAAGACTAATTATTGGAAACGAGAAAACTCATTCTGTTGGAAATGAGAAAACTGAGGGACCAGTATGAACTGATCCCTCGTTTTCTCTTATAAAAGAGAAATGAAGCACCGATATAACCTTTACCTATCAGTACGCCCCACCTTGAGTATACGGCGGCGATTTATTGGGCAAGGCTGGCAAAGCTGTTACTCAGAGATAAAGTAACATTCTAGTGGAGAAATATTTCTTTTTAAATCGGACCATTTTTTGTTTATTCGTTAAACACAAACAAAGCAAACCTATCCTTTCTGTAATATTACTATAATGAAGTATATGTATACGTGTAATTTATATAATAAAGAGATTCATGTATCAATGGTTTTATGTTTTCAAACCAACCTTTTGTTAAATGTACCTTTATAAGCTGCCAAACCTAATTTTCAAAATAATGAAGTGACTTATAAACAACATTTAAATACAAATTATAACAACACAAATTAGATTATCGTCTAGTCATAGATTATGCTAATTAATTACCATACCATACACAAATGTGCCAAAGTAGGTTAGGTTATAAGTAACTTTTGAAGTTGTTTGCCAGTCACACGTTGCCATGGCAACAAAAAGCTTTATTAATGGCTACGGACGAAGAGAAATGTAAAGTGGCGAAATTACTCCAAGATTTAGAAGTGCCCGAGATAAAAATGCCCGAACGATGCTCTGGATTAGTGAAAGAATTTCAGCAGATATATGGGCTGGAAATGGAAAGTGAGGTTTTAGTAGAAGAGATTTACGATAATCCTTATGTTGTCGATAAGAAGTTGTTGGAAGAGAATGAGAGGAAGTTACAAGAGCTGTTGGCTGAGAATAAGCGGTAAATTTTATAATACGAAACTCCATAAATAATAGTTAGTTTTTTTTACCCTCAGGAGTCTTAGAAGCTTACGTGCGTATTGATAACGAGGAAAAATTGATAAGTACCTTTATCGTTACAGAGCCAAAAAACAGTTGCCAGAGAACGTGATGTCTGGACCTGATCCAAAACGACTGTGGCGTACACAATCAAGCAAAGAAAAACTTTTTCGTATCGACAACGATATCAAAAGACATTTGGAGAAAGGCGGTCAGTCTATCGACCCTCTTCAAGAAGAAGAAATGCAAGATCTGGTGAAGGAATGTAGAGAAGAGACCCTACGAAACCCACCCGTAAACCCAGACCGGCTCCGGGAAACAGTGGTTGAGGCACGGAAGAATCTACCTAATTTCCAATACCGCACGATTGAGAACAGCACAGCAACAAATATTCTCCCTAATGCTCACGAAAAGACCTCTGAAGTGCCTAATCAAGAATTTCTTTAATTGTTATATTTCAGAGGCCAATTATTGACAGACTGAGGGTCGAACTCTGGCCCTAGCGCTAAGTATGTCCCGTACGTCAAAAATATGTGAATCCTAATCAAGAAGTATTCTAAAATGTTTCATAACTTGACAAATAAGTTTGACTATAGCCATTTCGATCATAATTCGAATTCGATTTTATAAGAGCTGTCGTGATTAGTTTTTATAGAACTATAAATGTGTGTTTAGTGGTAAACAATAAAAATATTACATATTTCCTTTAAATTGTTATTATATTATCTACTTCAAGTATATGGATGAAACTGTTGTCCAGCTCCAAACTATAATCTTTTCATTGTAATTCAAATAAAGGTTTGCGTGAATCAAGTTATAGGTAATTAAAATTCATAATAATTATTCTATAAGGGTGTGTCACGTATTTTTGAAGTTATACTTCTTTAGGCGCGTTATGAAAAATTTATGAGAGTGAAATTTTACGATGCGCGCGCACCATGACATTAAATTATCAGTATGGGCGCCGAGCGTGCGCGAGCGAGATGGGAATAAGACAATCTACAAGTAAAAAGAAATAGAATATGCGTGATGTTAGCAGCTATGCCAAGAATTTTGAATGACCATAATGACATTTGTAGTACCTTTTAAACAAATAAAGGATTTTTTTTTTTAAGAAATTTAGCTATTCTTTTTCACAAAGACCTATTGTTACTTAGTTAAAAGGTTATGAAACATACCTAGTTATTAAATTGAATTAATAATATAATAAAATAATAAATAATTATTAATATTAATAATTGAATAATATACTAAATATTAAATATTGTTAAATTATTAACGCTAAATATTTATTATTGATTATTTAATATTCAAAAAAATTTAAAAAAGCCAAAGAAGTATAACTTCTTACGCGCGTACATAAGTACACGCACCATTTTTTTTATATATAATGATACCTTGGACGACTTTTAAATTAATGTAACAATTAACTTATACCTACCTATATAAATGCTATGTTTTTAATATACATACTTAATCAGTTTAACTAGAATTTTGGGTACGGTTATCCGTTGTAATGAATTTAAAACGAACAAGCTAATTTTACTAAATCTATATTTACAATTCATATCTAACAAGTATGTATTACTTATATTAAGGCAGTGGTAAGCACATTCCACGTCCAGAAACTAGACACTGTTTCCTGCGGAGTTTGGCGGAGATGAGAAATTTGCGAATGTTGGCATTAGAGTACTCTTACATTGCGGACAGCACCGGGGCAGCTCTCATTTCCTTGCTTACCGTTTTGCGCAGACCACATTTTCGTTTGCAGGTAAAATCACTGTATAGATGGTAATCGACGAAAACCTCAGGCAATTATTCAATAATCCTAGGAAATTGCCGGCTGCGTTTTCGCTGAGATCATGATACCTACCTACTTGTAAAATATTAGACGGTTAAACACTTTCCGTCTTATTCTTAAAATCATTGTATTGGTCTAAGATCCCGCTGCAGGATTAGTGCGCTCATCGACTATTTGTTTAAAACCAAATTTTTATGTTTATTTATAATTAAGAGAATATATATTTACTAGGGTGCCTATCAAAATTTGGCCGCCATTATTTTTAATTAAATTATTTTTAATTGATTTTTGGTAAAATATTGCGTTCATTTATTATTTAAATAAAATAACGTCTACATCACGGTAATTAATATGAAGATTCTAAAAAATCACGGGTGCCGTTGCGTACATGGCCGCACTTCTTTGCAGCCAGGTGTAAACAGGTATGATTTCGATAAATTTATACGTTTATAACCTATTTTTATTAATTATATGTCAAATTGAAGCTAATTTTTTTCTATTAATTATCATATAAAGTTGCTTAATTAAATCTGGCCGCAAATAAGGGCTACTGGCTGTTAAAGATAATAAATATTTAAGGTAGAGTGAAAGAGAGTTAGCGCGTAACATCATTTGTCAGACGAGGACAGCGATTGTCGGCTGTGCGACGCTCTTAAGCCATTGCGCATGCGTCGAACGTTAGTGTTCTCAACCACCGGGGAGTAATAGAGACGACTTATAATAAATACTCCAAAAAATATGTAATTTTTTTCAAAATGACAAATTTAAAAATTGCAACAAAAATTAATATTGATTTGGTCTAGTTAGCAATTTGTCTAACTCCTTATTTTTTAGAGGGTGATTTTTTTTAAATTTTGATGAAGACATAATCCAATTACAAATTATTTGAATGATTCATACTTAAAAATTATATCTCTATTAGATATTAAATGGTTTTTTAAAATGATAATAAATTTTGAAGTCATTGTTTTTTTCGTACAAATAAAAGATTCTCTAAAATGGAGTTAGATAATTTGCTAATTAGAACGTCGATATTTAATATTAATTTAAAAAAATAAAAAAAATAAAACCAAGGCGACTTAAGTAAAAGAAAATTTTATTGCGAAAGTATTATTTAAAAATTTTATTAGATTTTATTCAAGTAATTGATTGTCTATTACATATTAATTAAACATTTAAGCAAATTAAAAAATTAAAAAATTAATCTTATATTTCCGTAACTCTTATTTAAAAATCTGAATCATCGGAGCTTTCTGTTGTACTATCATCGGAGCTATCACTTTCATCGCTACAAATATCAGAATCGTCGTTATCGGAAGCTTTGTTCATGGATTCACATAGCACACTATTAACTTGCGTTGGAGTTGAGTCTCCCAGGAACCATGTTGGTTTTAAAAAACCACCTAGGACCAGCCAGCCATTCTGGGCTGAATTTGTTGCAATTTTTAAATTTGTCATTTTGAAAAAAAATTACATATTTTTTGGAGTATTTATTATAAGTCGTCTCTATTACTCCCCGGTGGTTGAGAACACTAACGTTCGACGCATGCGCAATGGCTTAAGAGCGTCGCACAGCCGACAATCGCTGTCCTCGTCTGACAAATGATGTTACGCGCTAACTCTCTTTCACTCTACCTTAAATATTTATTATCTTTAACAGCCAGTAGCCCTTATTTGCGGCCAGATTTAATTAAGCAACTTTATATGATAATTAATAGAAAAAAATTAGCTTCAATTTGACATATAATTAATAAAAATAGGTTATAAACGTATAAATTTATCGAAATCATACCTGTTTACACCTGGCTGCAAAGAAGTGCGGCCATGTACGCAACGGCACCCGTGATTTTTTAGAATCTTCATATTAATTACCGTGATGTAGACGTTATTTTATTTAAATAATAAATAAACGCAATATTTTACCAAAAATCAATTAAAAATAATTTAATTAAAAATAATGGCGGCCAAATTTTGATAGGCACCCTAGTAAATATATATTCTCTTAATTATAAATAAACATAAAAATTTGGTTTTAAACAAATAGTCGATGAGCGCACCAATCCTGCAGCGGGATCTCGTACTATATGTAATTGCTTTCTTATTAAAGGACTCTTTCTGTCAATTGTATTTACACTGGGATGAAAAAAGAACATCAGTATTGCAAAAAAACAGTTTTTTTATCAATATGGTGATAAGACTTTATGTTGATTTTCCTATTTCAGTTAATTTGTCGCGAGGATCAAATTCCTGGCCGCACAGACGCTTCTCTCGGTGTGGGCGGTCATCATATACCTGATACGGCCTGGCGACGAGTTAATATCGCCTGCCCCGATTTATATCTATTGATGGCTTTCTGTTAGTAGAATATAGAAGTTTAATGTTATTTGGCCCATACTTAACGCTGTAACAGCGTTTCTAATCAACGAAATTTAAAAAAAAATATAGAGAAAAATCTTTAGAAAGACATCCTCTACAAAATTGTTCTGACATTATTTTTTGTTAAAATCAAAAGGAAAAAAAGTTATTAAGCAAAAAAGGTAATTTTTCACTTTTTTACTCATAACTTTTCAATTTTGGCCTTATGATAAGAAGTCACAAAGACAATTGTACGCCAAGCGATTTGCTACAAAATATGTTTTCACAAATTTTTTGTACGATGGACAGCTTAGAAGATATTATAGCCAAAAACGTGTTTTCACCCCTTTTTACAAGATGGCGGCCGGGGGACAAGGGCGCCAACTCCACAAACTTGAGTTTAAGCTTGTATTGACCCCCCCTACATGTTCCATAAATAAAATTGCGTCCTCTAACAAATGCAGCAAATGTGACATTTCAATGGACTATTAGGTTACCTACAAATCAATTTTTCAGTCCGAATACGGGACTACGACAACATCCGTCGGTTCTTGACACCCAGCATTCCTCTCCGGGAGACGCATTTGCAATTTGGCATCGACCTATTTAAACAGCAAAGGCAGGATTCCGACTTAAGCTGCTTTATTAGACACATTGCCTGGCGATACGGTGATACCTTGGGTAATCAACTTGTCTTTGGAAACTTAATAAGTCATTGTAGACATTTAAACGTGACCGTAAAACCCTTCAACTAAAGATATTCCGACCGCTGAGGATATGTAAAACCTCTCGACTTTAGCACTTAGCACCTTAGTTTGGTCGAGGACCTTCCCTTTAGGTCGGAGAAAGAGAATCTTCTTTCCTCCACATAAGATTACTATTTACAATCGAGAGACGTGATAACATGACATGGTTATAGTAAAAAATTCTCGAAGTGCCAGTTCACTTAGCCCTATTTAATACCGAATGTATTTCTTTTAGCCAAACAAAGGCAGTGTTAAGGGACTAGAAACGAACATCTTTATAAACCACAGAGGCTTCTTATATACTGGAGATATAACTTTACATATTTGTATTAATTTCAATATTAATTCTTAAGTTATATAAAATTATCATGTTTTTATCATGGTGATTGGTGGATGGGAGGTCCGAAATTTAATACCTAGGGAAACAAAAACTGTATAGTTTTAACTATTACGAGTCTCTTGTCTAAGATTATATATGGGAGTTCGGAGACGTGGAATTTTTATATTAAATGTACTTTGTTTAGTAACCCTCAGTATTCACCAATGGCGTGGCGCGATCTTTCAACTCCAAGACATCGTAGAGCTGATACCTGGGCTGGTGAGACTGCTGTATATAGGCCTGGTGGAAGAAGACGATTTGCGAAGCTTGTTCAATTTAATAGCGTGCGGAGTTGTCAGAAGTATATATCCTTATTTACTAACAAATTGTTTAGAGTACCGTTTTTTTATTGCGTCTGCGCAATACTTAATTCCCTTCTAGCCATTTTGGCACTACCAATTTCAAAATTCAAATCTATAACGTTTTGCAGAATTGAAACAAGTGAATATACAAGTCCAAGATGAAGAGAGTAAACGGGAATTTTGGTCAGACAGTGTTCGTAAACTAAACGAAGAATTCAAAGACATCATGTCACTTTTTGATATTGAATTTTGTTTAAAAATTTATAAAAGTTAAATTTTTTTAATCTGTATTTTGTTTAATTTAATGTTCTTACAATATTCCTCAGATATATTTTGTTATCTGTCAAAACATCTCATGGGGCATGTAGTGGTTTAATTTCTACTGCTTGATCTTCTTTATATTAACAAGCGGTCCCCTAAACTTGTTCTTAAAGTGACTCGCTCAGAGAAATTAGAGCACGGCTATGTTCGCTACTCTTGTGGGTAATAAAAAAACCATTATCAAAAAAGTAGAATGTTTATTTTTACATTTTAACAATGTTTAGTCGCAGGCACGCGATACATATTTTGAAACTTTACCAATAAAAAGTAAATATTTGCTACAGCAATAATCGTTACTATATACATTTTATCGCTGTGGGAGACGGGGGTGTTCCCCACATGAGCGACCCTAGGGAACGTTCGCTACAGCGCTAGTGTGGAAGACCACAAGCGTCCAATTCCGAGCGTCTGTACTGAATAAATGATAAAAAAAAGTTGAAAAATATTTTAATTTCATTATATACTAAAATTATATGGTACAGTGAAAACTCGTTTAATCACGGATCTATTTGCACCCACTTCCAATCAATCCTATTATAATAACAGCCGTCTCGTTGACCCGAATTGAGCCAGCTATATTATTTTAAATCATGGGATGTCAAAATTTCAAGATTTTAAAAAAATCTCACAAATCAAGTATCACTGTACTAAATCTATATTTTTTTTTAATTTTATTTTTATATCATATCTAGCATCAATCTTGATGGTATAATTTTTAACTAAATACCTACCAAATAAAATATCAAATTTAGTATAGTCCATTCATCAAGATTGATTCGGCTTTAAGTGATTAAACTAAAATATGACTAACATGTGTTACTCTATAATTATACAAAGCAGTCGGCCTATGTTTAGCCAATTCACCGGTCGCTCTTCTTCCGATTTCACAATAGGTCAAATGAGCATGGCGTACTTATGATTATAGAAATCATTACTAACAACGAATTTTCCATCGTCATACAGGGCTAATGGGCTTATAGGAATGCCGCATTCATTATAACAAAAACCCTGATTATCAAACTTCATACATAAGCTAGTAACAAGCGTAATCACGTCATAAATCTCACTAATGAACTAGGTCAACTTCTCAAATTGAAATCATCACCCGAGTTGAACTGTCCATATAAAAATTTATATACCATATTTACGCGACATAATATTCTGTATACGATTCATTATCTCTATAGAATGATAATATTTGAGATGATAAATCCACGCCGTTAATTATAAATAAATATATTAATTTTAACTAATATTCTTTAAATTGTAAAATAAGATTTTTAACCTATGTATTGATACAATATCTCTATAGCGATCCGGCGGTAATGCGAGTGGGGCCAAGGGCGCGGCCTGTCAGGCTTCAGAAGACGAGTCTTCGTTATCCGCCTCTCTTATGCTCGTGAAGAAAGATGTCAAAGCTTTAAGCATAACCGCTGAAAAAAAAAACCAATTTGAGTTTGATATTTATATTATGTATATAGAATGTAATTACAATATTATATTCGTTCAAACACTAACGAATATCCTTGTTACAAATTATAATAAGAATCGAATCCCTAAGGCCTGAGACATAGCACTAAGTCGACATTACAATCTACCCTAACTTAACCCAATAATTAAAAAATAACTAAATTTACTAAAAAAGGGATATTCAACATAAGCTTTGTTCTTGTGTACTAAATATTTTTTACCTTTTCCCTCCGGCTCCATCTCTGAAGTCTCCCATGCAATAAATCCATCCACAGATATTACGTATTGCTCATGCAGATATTGGAAAATATCTAATGTTAAACCTGAAACAAATATCATTTTAGTCAATTGTAGGAATTGGAATTAAATGTGCTTCAAGAAATTTTTAAATCTGATATTGATTTAAAATAGGGTTTTTGTTAATAATTTTTGAAATGAAAGATTTGCCTGGATATATTTTAATATGTTCTATTATTCATATATATATAAACAAATCAGTGGCGCTACCTTTTCAGATCTGGGTCTCAGATTTCTGTACCTGTTTCATAATCGTTCGTAAGGCAAGGCAGTTTCTAATAGGCCGGTAGACGATCAGCCTCCTGTGCTCGACGCGCGCCGTCGACTTTTTGAATCTAAAGCGACGTTTCCTCACGATGTTTACTTTCACCGTTCGAACGTTAAATGCGCAAATAGACAGAAAGTCTATCGGGGCAGTCGGGGATCGAACCTACGAACTCGAGGATAAGAGGCTCGCCGAAATGAATTCAAAGTTACCTTGAGGGTGTTCCAGCCGATGAATGAGCTGCTGTATACCGAAGAGGCAAGCCGCTTCTCGTTGTGCCTGCGAGTCTCCATAATCACCGATTAAGGGCGAATACTTATTCATGCGATCGTGACTCAAATGCGGCGTCGGAGTCGGCTCGGGGCCGAAGAGGGCGTGTTCGCATATCGCTTGCGTCAGACAACGTAAGAACCACTCTTCACCGGTAGAGGCGCCAATGTTGTCCTGTAATTGTTATTCGTGTTCACTAAACTTCGTTAGACCGAAATATGATATTTGTTTATTATAACTGTGATATTAAATGAATTGCCAAGTTGATATTTGAATCCCGTGACAGACTGCGCAAGTGAATTGAAGAAAACTTAATGCCTTTGATACAATTCGAACACAGTCTTAAATGAATACTTTGGAATATTTATATTTAGTACTTTTAGGCACATGAAGGTAAACGCAATAATAATAATTAATATTAGCGTCACGAAGACGAGGGTAAAAAATTTTTTTAAAGAAAAGAGAGAGCGATGGAGACCGATCGAGAGAGAGCGAGAAGGGCGAATTACTTTATATTCTATTTTAAAATTAAAATTTCGTAAAGAGAATTTATGAAATATTAGTATTTTAAATTTTATGCAAAATAATTTATTGAAATCTCTTTTGACGAAATGTAAATTAAAATGCCACGTACTTTAATTATACTTTAGTGACAATTAAATTAATTAAATTCCTATTATATTGTACTTTTTGTCTCGGAAATCTAAAGTTTTAGATTTGTATAAATATAAGCAAGACTTAAAAGTTAGTTTGCCAAGTTTCACTTCTTATTCTTATTCACTTTTTTTTTTATTATTAATATCTGTTCAACTTTAACAGTAGCTAAATAGCTAAGTTGGGGTGACACCTGGTGTGTGACAACAATTTACCTTAACCCATCCTCTAAGGCAATCACAGCTTTCATCGCTATTCATTAGTTGAAGCAACTTGCTCTGCATCTCACAAGGAGTCATGATCCGTTTTGTGTCTTCATTAAATATCTCTGAATCGTCAGAGCTCTCGAGAAACTCAAAGTGGTTGTCCGACATCCACTTCGGTATCTGTAAAAAGTTAATAAATTAATTAAAGTCCTACAACTATATATCCCTATGTTTTGATAGTACTTAGCTCTATATTTAAATTAGAATTACCATGTCAGAATTCATCCATTGTTGCAATTGTAAGCCTGATTCCAGCCACTTGTTCCTAGTGAATGTTTTGCCCATACTTTCCTTAAGTTCAGCTAAAACACATTTTAGAAACGAGTGTCCATGGTTCACTGAAATCAGGCCGCTCGAAACCTTGTGAACCTGGACAAACGTAACATGCTGCAAAAAAAAACATTTATTTTTTATAGAAACAAAGTTTATAACCGGCAGCATACCCACAAATTAGTCCCAGAATTGTAATATGTATTCAATATAAACTTACTTTCTTTTCTATAAGGGGAGCAATAAATTTTCCTAAGTACGAGTACAGCATCGGTATGTCTATGTATAGATCTGGACCACATTCAAATATTTCTGCCATTCCACTCATTAAATTATCTCTGGAAATTGCCCCACAACTGACTACATGCGTCACTGATTTTGCCAAAATTGAAATATCTTTAGCGTTCCTGAAATTATAATTAAAGTATAATATTAAGTTAAAGTACACGTTTGCAGCTTTGAATATTGACGGTAAACATTTGTTATCAGCGTCTATAATAATAATAGTTCGTAATTAATATTTTTACTTGTTTTTAAAGAAAAATTTACTGTTAAAAACATATTAAACATGTTATAAAATATACTTCATTTTCACAGGCAAATCCAAAGGTTATCAATAAATCCAAAATAATATAATATATATAATATAATAATAAATCCAAAGGATAAAAATGTACTCAAGATAAATAATATTCCACTTACTTCTCAAGCGCAACATTAAGTATTTCTGTTATCACTGCCGCGTGGTATTGTGGAGCGAAGAGCTTGATCTCTTCAGCTAGTTCATTATTGTCAAGGTTCATGATACACAGGTCGACCAACTGCTTGATGAATTTTCTTCGGTCCTCTGGAAGAGGTTCTTGAACGGCAGGCGGGGGCAAAGGTTGGGCGGGCATCGGTGGTGCTTCAGACTGCAGTGAGGGCGAGGGTGTAGACGTAGGCCTAACCCCTCCAGTGGAACCGGAGCGACCGCCGGTTGCTAAAGTTAACGATTGTATTACATTTAAGGCTAAAGTAAGTACACGGCAATAGTACATATTTATAAAAAAAAACGTAAAGCTGTGAGATCTTGACCTGAGTTAAAAATTACAGTGGAAATCTGGGGCCAAAGAAACCTTTAATTTGTGAAGTAATACTTTATCTATATAACTTTGTAGAAATTGTACTAGCTCGGTTTAGCACCCATTTCTACACTTTAATTTACGAGACGGGGCAAATTTTTCGGAAATTGCCTTTACGAAAAAGTCAAGACTCATAATAAATATATGTGAAAAAAGGAAAGGAGATGAAGGATAAACTTCATCATATGAACTATAGAAGACCCATTAATAATAATAAAACTTTGAATACAATTTAAGCATATCATAATAATTATTGTATTAATAAAGTGAAAGACAAAAAAATCACTCACGGTTTAGGCCAACTAAGAAAAGAAATTCATGTTAAAAAAGTTATAGCATATGAAGAATCATTTATAGTTTTCCAAAAAGCATTTTAGGAGTCTTATTATTTTATCATCAATATTGTAAAGAGCAAAAAAAAGTTTTACTTACCGAAATCAGAGCGAGAATTGAAAGTGGATCTCTCTATTGACTTTGATTGTTGATAAGCAGCAGGTGAAAGTTCCTTGTTACCTATAAACCGAGAAACAAATCAATGGAATATAAATTTTTTAAATTAAAACTAAAAAATAAAACTTTTTTTGTAACTTTGCTTAGCTAATATAATGAAGTAATTCTTGAAATTATACATTTCGCCTACATTCTGAAACGTCATAAAAATTTAAATTCTTTCTTCGTAAACTTTGACAGTGATCATGGGAAGATTGATAATTAATATACTCTCGTAATATGGGCATTAAAAGTTTTACTAAACTATCATTTAGAATAAAAACACATAATTTGCTTATACATATACAGTAATTCACACATAGCAAATAACAAAGATATTTTAATAGCAACATATACTTCAGTGAGATGGAAATATGTAAGAAAAACAATGTACCTCTTAGTGTAGTCGGGTCGACCTGTACATTCTCTAGAATACTGTACATATTCTTGACAGGTGCAACCGTTTGAGTCTTTGCTCCCGATCCTTGGTTCCATGCAATGTTGTGAGGAGCCAATTTAATTGTACTTAAGTTCTGTAAACAATATTTTATACATTAAAGCTTGTAGTGTTAATAACTGTTGAGCTTAATAAGGCTTGTAATTCAAGTATCGGGTAGAAAAAGACCCTTGTGAAACAGCCCAAATGGATTCATAATCTGAAGCGCAGAAATAGCATAGAAATTACATACTATAATAATGCATTGTTTGAGGCTACAGCTTAAGGAGTCAGTAAATTTACACTAGTTATTATCTGTATAAAAAAATGATTTTTAGTACATTATTTTCTTCACTAGGCACAGAAGGCTCGACATCTTGCTTGCCTTTCAAAAGAATGGTTAAAAACCATCTAAAAATCTGAGGCCAACTCCAAGGGCTGTCGCACAACAGTTTAGTGGAGTAGTACAAAACACTACTAATATAAGTATGTCGTTATTGGTTTTAGGTAGGAGACTAACCAACACAAACAACTTTAACTAGAACTGTTTAGATACACTCAAATACAGTAAATTTTATAAGGAAAAATCAATTGTCTAGTATAATATTGATTCAATTTTTATTTTTTTTAATCCTTACCTTTTGCGGCGGCATGGCCTTCAATTTGGTTGTGTCAACAACATAGCTGGTTCTTGTCGCTGTAGTCTTCCACGTATTATCCATAAAGTTATTGCCCTGCCTTCGGCCTTCGCCCCCACGTTTTCTTCCACTACCGCTGTCATCACGTCGGAATCCACCACCGATGGGCGAATTCATCAACTGTAAAAAGAGATGATTAATTTATTAATTAAAGATGGTATAATACCACTATCCACACTCACAAATAGACATATATTTTAGATTGATTTTTCTAAAACCAAAACTCGGACACAAGGGAAACTCTTAATTTTGTTTTAAGTTGACATTTTTAATATAGACATCAATTTGATTATGAAAATGAACAATAACTAAAATTTAGAAGTAAATAGACTTGAGAATAAATGGCTCTTAATTATTTGTTTAGTGGAGCATAAAACTAAAAAGTTACCTCAATATGTCTCTGTTGTTGTTCAGCCTCCTTCTGAATCTGGTCCATCATCTTGGGTTGCGAATCAATAACATTCTTGGCTACCCATTTTCGTCTTCTTAGTTCAATTACATCCTATAAAAAAATATTTATTAAATATTCACTCAAAGAATAACCATTCCTACACAAACAGCTGATGACCGGACGGAACAAATTGTATTATAATTGCTGTTTCAAAGATTAATAAAATAATTAATTTTACAGTAGTAGAAGTATTTAGCTTTTAACAATGCTTTACATATAATTTGTTTAAATAGAGAAGATTAATCTTTTACTTCGTAAAGTACTGATTTTTAAATAAACATGACACTAAGTGCAATGTGCTCTAATGCCTGAAGACGTAGATTTGATTCCCGACAGTGCACCAATGTACGTTCTGTCGTTATGAAGTAGTCATTAAAAAAAAAATTACAGAGAAAAACTAAAAATTTAAAAGCCCATTAAATTGTACAATCAGCATTACCTGTATCATAAAACGCACACGACTGCTAATCTTATTACTCTTGCGATCATTAACAATGTCTTGCATTTTGTCCATTATGGTGTCGAGCTGATCCTTCACCTCACCCTCCACTTGCTCCCCGATAGTGGTCAGAAGCTTACAGAGACATTCGAGTTTTTCCTCTTCCGGCTTATCAATCAGGTAATTCATACAATATACCATAATTTTCGATATCAATATTTTTAGCTTGTATAATTCACCTGAAAATAAACATTGAATATTTACTAAACATTCTGTGCAGTATACAAATTTATTTAATTTAATTCGCTAGTTAATAAATAAATCATTTTGGAATAGGATATTTGTTATATCTAAGCATTTTTCAATATAGGTATTATACATCCTCCAGCCATGCTTCAAATATATGATTGACACAGATATACGCAATAGACGCAAGCTTTGTACGTCAAAGTCAGCAGTTCGCAATTCTAATATGGGCAATTCTAAGTTTTCGCATAATCTCCGACTAAATATAGTTATAATTTAATTTTGTCGTTAGTGTTACGTCAGGACGTAAATCTTCTTAAAATATTCAATGTCTTTTGCTTCGTGATAGGTCTGATATAGCTTTAATAACTTTTAAAGGGTAAATTTAATGAAGGCTGCCACCCTCATACCGAACTGTAGTTCTCATAATTATCATTAATTCACTGTAGTCTGTACACCCTCCAAAATCCGGCATTTCTTTATAACAAAACACGATTCAAAAAGCCTTCCAAATAATGCAATTTGCAAGCAGTTCAGTAATTTCGACCTCAACTTTTTAAAATATTTATGAATTTCACACATGTCCTATTCCAATCGACTTATCGACAACTAAGCCTCAAACGGGAATTCTTTTAGTATTTCCACAATTTCTGGTTAGTTTTCAAGGTTTCATTAAACTGATTTTCATGTTATCTATACAATTGCACTGGCAGATTAAAATGCATGAAAGCAAATTAAAAAGCATATAAGCAAAATAAAACAATCGCAGTTGCACAATAAATAAATATTTCAAATTGTTGATTTGTTTTTCTGTATGTTCACGAAAATCTCAGAACCCAAAAGGGTATCAGCATCAGGAAATGACAAACACTTAGCACAATGTTTAGTTATACCTGTGTCAATCATAACGGCATAAAACGAAAAGTGTTCTTTAAAGCATAAAATTAAACTAATTTCTATACTGGAGATACTTTGAAACGATCTTCATGAATATATCAAAGCTGCACATGATACATGGAAACCTAGGATTCCATAGTGCACTTTCTCTGTTAACTGAACATCCTTTTTTATTATTCGTAATAGGCTTTTTTAAACACAAAAGCTTCAATAATTTTTCGAGTTTTGTCAAAAATATTTTAATGCCTATGAAATCGATGTTTTCCCCGTTAAGAAAATAAATTAATTTATTTTTATATTAATATTCTATGAGCAAAGTATGTAAGGAATTTGAGTAAATTTTTATAATTTGATTCAATATAATAAACAATAAATAGGCTGTCTTATATACATACCTATAAACCTGACATTTCCAACTGACCGCATGCGAATTCGGCGTTGAACTTCTGCGAGTTGTAAATGTAGCTCCCTTTTCTTAGTCTGTAAGTTAAGTTTCATGTATATATTAACCTCACAAAAAATTCAATTTAACCATTGATTTTTCAACTTCTAAAGTTTTCGTTGAAGAAATTTGCGTTCCACCTAGAAATCGAACCCAATACTCCAAGAGTGTAGCTTTTTCGTTAATTACTCTAGGACTGCCAAATCCATTTAACAAAATTTATTATAAAAATTCAAAAATCATTATTTAATAGTACTGTGTAAACTCTTTATAATGACACCCGTTAAAAATAAAGAAATCTCTCTATAACAACAAAATTAGTTAAATTTATTAGGTTAACCCAATACCCACACATTAATTATTCCCTCCCTATAACGAAACCTATTTATAACGAATAGAAATGATCGGTCCGTTGAAATTCGTTATAAAGAGTTTATACAGTATTTACAAAAAATAAATTAATAAATAATGAAATACTTACGGCGTCATTGGACTCTGCTATCTCTGCCTCAAGTTTGAGAACGTGTTCGTCCGTCTTCTCTTTAATAAATTGATTTTGACATTTGCTAATTATCATCGCACGGAAGTTCACACATTGTTCGGGTGAATTTGTTGACGGTACCTGATACCAAACCAAAGCCACGGTGAAAGAATTATTAAATTTGGACGAACATTTTTCGATTTGATTATTTTTTCAATGTATTAGAGTAAAACGATTTCACCAAGTTATCTACACTTTACTACCCCTTGATATGTAAGTTAAGTTTTTAAAACCCTACAATCACATTAATAAATATCTTATTTCAATAATGTTTTAATTTACATATAGACATCATACGGTATCTAAGTCTTTTAATACAAGCTGTCAAATATAAAATGACGTCCTACCCTTTGTCGAATTTCATTACTCTTCGTAAAGCTTTCTTAAAAATAATACTTATAACAAGTTTTTTCGCTTCAAAGACGGCTAAACTTGAATTGTCAATAATGTTATTATCGCCAACACTCGCCAACTTATACTTGACAGACTGTATGAGGCACGTAACTTAGCAGGATTCTGCGTGGTAAGTTCGCACGTGCGCTTTTAGTAGGAACGGACTCAAACCGCTGCAACGCATATACGACCAGTCACCAGACATGTGCAGAGTACTCGACCAAGTTACTTTTTTAAATATAATTTTTTGGTTATACGTATTTTTTTATTGTTTTGCGTATTTTATAGTTGAAAAATTTCGTAAGTTATAGAAGCCTTCTTATTCCTATGTACAGGTCTTAGTAACACCAAAGACAATTTAAGTAATATACTAGCAATGTTAATATAAAAATAAATATTCAGAAAATATATAATTCAAATTTAATGTTTTTAACTATATAATTTCGGATACCAATCATGAAATAAAACTAATCGGCGTTTGTACCGTTTAGTTATAATTAATATCACAAGCTATTTACTACTAGACGGTGCTGTCCATACATTTATAGACAAATTCTTGAATTAGTTTAATTATTGTTAATTAAACTAATGTAGCAAAAGAAGCAAACTGACGATTTAAACATATTATAGAGCCCATTAACCACGAAAAAAAAACTAAAACCTATTATAATAGTAATACTAAATTTACTAATTTAAATTGTATGAATGTTTATTCTTCGCCACATGACTCTTAAAGTACTTTACAGATTTAACATGTAGCAATGGCAACGTTTGGATTACATCATTGTGCGTAATTTTTATTTAAAATCGATAAATTAAATAAAATCTCAACATTACTGCTTCGTTTGATTTTATTGATAGATAATTTCGATGTATTAGTTTGGTCCAGCAGAAAACAGTTTTAACTAATTAAAAAAATAGTCCAAATCAAGTTTTCGCAATTCCAATAATATGTATCAATTTATTTATCCAAAACATTGTTATTTCAACCCAAGATATAAAAGAAAACAACATAATGTAATAATATGATAATAGTATTCTCATTTCATGAAAGTCAATATTGACCAGCAGACACGTAAGTACCAATTGCAATATCTTACGTCATTGTTTGGGTCTCTTTTGCTTTTGAATAATTCAATAAATCTTTATGTCTCGAATCTTTGCAAGTACATGTAGTCGCTATTCAATGATTGGCAACCTCGCCTAGGCATCAGGCCGTAAGAAAACATTTCGAATAATTAGGTAAATATTTGTTATTTTGATACAGCTTCCGACATCCAACCTCAAAATTTGTAATTACCACACGAGATTTACGGCTATTTACTTTAATTGTCTTTGTTATTAGAGAGGCGCTGAGACTTGCCGAAGACGGGATTGGAGGAAAGTAACAAGAACTTGAGTAATGAAGAACACGACTAAAGACAGAAGATATTCCTAACAGTTAACACCACGTACCTTTAATGTCGAAAGCTTGTTACACATAGCAGCATATGCTTCGGAAAAGTTCGGCTCATCGATAGCCTTCTCGAAAACGAGATCTATTACGCCTTCGAGACGCTCTTGTGTGTCAATTTCGAGTGACTTCACTTTGTCGACCAAAGTATCAAACTTCTGCGGCGTCAATTTGTTGAGTATACCACGGAACTTCTTGTACAGCTCCTGTATATAAATATATATTACAAACGACATTTATCTTTCGCGGGGAATCGAACCCAGGATTGTCCGTAGTTGACAGCTAAGCCAGGAAGGCGGAAACTTAAATCGATACCAAACTTTTAGTCAAAGTCATTGATTTTTTTTCAAGTTTTGGTTTGAAAGTGATATCCGTATATTCTAAGTGACATAATATTTTTAAAGGCCCTAGAAAAAGGTGGATAGAAGATATAGAAGCGTTAGCAGGAAGCGAATGGAGGAAAACCATGGATAGAGATTTTTGGAAAAAGCTGTGAGGCTAATTCTAAATATTCTAAAGAATTCTACATGCAACATTTGTGAAGATTGAAAATAGACGTGCTTTATCATTAAATGACATCATTGAAGTTAAAACTTTTTTTTATAAAATTGATACATAATGATAGGCTAAATTATATAAAAATGATAAATTAAATACCTGAGTTTTCAACTCCTGTTCATTCAAACTCTCTTTCTTTAGTCGAGTTGGTTTCCAAGCATCTTTACTCTCATTCAGTTTCACTTCTTCACGGAGAGAAATATATATATTTCTTCCCCCGCTGTTGCTCGATGGTGAACTAAGTTTCATGCTTCCTTTTCCTAAGATACGATCTATAAATACATTTTAAAGTGTACAACATTACCAATGATTTTACACAGGACACAGGGAAAAATATATAATTTTTTTAATGCGCCTAATAACCATCACACTCAAATAATATAAATTTGTAAGACTTTATTACTCTAAGATCCTTTCATAGATTATTATCATAGAAATCCTTGAAATATTAAATAATTATTTCTTACCTGGGGGTGCTCCTACATTTCTAGTGTCTTTCTTGTTATCGCGAAGAATAGGACTTCTCATGTTACCGGGACTCATAGTCTTAAGGAATGTGGGGAATAGGGAGTCATTCGCTGGTCTATGAATATGATTGAATGACATAATTGTGTCCATTTGCACTGTCTGTAATATAGACAAAATATTGAATTTTAGTTTAATTATAGTATTGAAGCCTGGTGAAAAAAAAGATCTACCAAAAATAATGAATATAGAAGAGTTAATATTGCAGTAGCAAAGGTAACTGTGCATAGACTGCAAGAATATTGCAAAATTGTTGCCAAAAATGTTTGTAACCTTTTCAGAAAAAGCCTTTAAGCAAACACAAATTAGTTATAATTTTAATATGACTGGGAACAAAAATACCATAACAGTCATTTAATATAGTATAGAAAATTAATTCCACTATATTTGCATTAGTTTAAAACCTACCCGTAGAAGATTGCAAGCCTCAAGCAGTGGTGAATTTGGCTTGTTCTTACACAACGGATCATCTCTCATCTGCTTTAGTAGTGTTATATCATAAGTTTTCTTTCCATTAGGATTAAAAGGGGACCATTGATCTAAAACAGGGTAATAGAGTCAACACTAGAAACACTAAAAAAAGGATATTCATTTAATTATTAATTTTATTGAAAATTGTCAATTTATTAAAGATACTATATATTACTAACACATAGTTTAAGAATGCCATTTTATAGTATATATATTTTATATATACTATAAAATAAAGCATAGTATATATATTTTATGTAAGCAAAATTGAATTTACAATATATTTTTGAATCTATTCCCTAATTCCCTAACTTACAAGTAAATTTATATTTGTTGCAATTTTATCATATACCTTCACTGTATTTATGTTTGAGTGTAAATACAGGCACTGCTGGTTTAGTCGGTTCAGGCGTCACAGGTTCAGACGAGGGAATAACATCTGATTCTACTTCATTTAAATTATCAGTCTCATCTCTTCCATTTGTACAAGTCTCCTTGGCACTAGGCTCAGTGCCAGAATTCTTGTTTACTTCCACACTAGCATTTTTTTGCTTCTTTTTGGATGTCTTTGTGGGTTTCTCATTTTTATGCATGTCTTCTTTTACAGTCTCAGCTATCTCAGTAATATTACCATTTGCAACATCAGGATCTATCAAAAAAATCACATGTATTATGTTTAGTAAATAATATAAATAGATATAAAAAAGAAAATGACAATAAATACCTGGTGATGTATTATTGAGATTTATATCTTTCATTATAGTTTCAAGGTTATTTCTAGCAGCACTCACTATGCTCTGTGTGAGCTTGGCTTGGGCGAGACATACACTGTTCTCTTCTTCAAGAGTTTCAGGGCGTGACACGTATTCTTGAGCTACTTTTTCAATACTAGACAATAATTGAGAGGCAGTAGGCGATTGTAATATAGGGAATGTCTCTTCAGTATTAACTATGAGTTCAACTTGCTTAGAAGTTTCAGTTTCAGTCTCAAATGTTGTCTCTTGTTTCACATCATTTTGTGTATCTAACTTAGTTTCAACTATGTGACTAGTATTGACAGGTTCCGATAGATAGTTACCTGCATAATAAGTTATTAGTGAGTATCACAAGAAAAAATATTTAAATCTATAACACAGAAAAAACTAACCCATGTTATTGCCAAGCAGACAACATCAATATTTGAAAACACAAAGACCACTGATCATAAACTATCCAGTCTAGACACTTATATAACTTTATGTTCACAAGAAAATAAAATATGTTGCTTTAATAAGAAAAACATGTTATTGAGGCATATTTAAATTTCTTTGAATACATTTGCTTACAACAGACAGTAAACACAATGTAGAGACGCATCTCTGAAGGACGAAAATACCATGCAAAAAGAGGAAATATTATATATTATGATTACAAAATGATAACATCAATAACAAGATAGGAATATTGCCGAAATATTTAACTCATAGAACCTAGTACATGTATATTAATTAACTAATACGAATAATAGTTGTGAAGCTTAAAAGCTCGATCCTTACACACAAAATTAGCAAGCGGTCAGAAAGTAGCTCTTTGTTTAGGACCCAAATGCCAGGCTAATGTAAATCAGAAGTGTCGCAACTTGCCAGCCAATTACAATAAACAGAAAACGACTGAAGAGAAAGAAATTAACATAAAGGTGCCCTGGGTATTTATTTTCTGCCTCAACTATAACTTTTCAGTACCAAATTCGCACTCTAAAAATAGAGACGAGTGATATTCACACGTGGGTGTTTTAAATTGTTCACTGTACTGACCTGGTTAATATATTTTATGAATTATGTGGCACTGTTCATTAGATTATTTAAAAAATTTAACTTTTTAATTATAATACGGTAAAGTCGTAGTTGATTGCTAATTTATATGAATCATTGACGATACTTATAATAAACACTTATTTACAAAATTTTCTGATAAAAAAAACTAAGTCAATTCATAAAAATATTGAAAAATTAAAATATCATGATAAAAACATGTTAAGATCAGCAAGTCCTGCTGTGACTGAATTAGCAGGCGCCATGTTGAAATATTCCAAGCGCGACATATGACCTCAAGCACAGAGCACACATCGCTGTCTTGTGCGCAAGTCCGGAATTGATCGTCAGCCGTCGCCCATCTTATTATTGTCGTATACACAAATACCTATTTGTATATACTTCTTCGGAGTATAATTATATCAAATTATTACAGCGTATTTATTCATTATAAATTTGTTTAAATTACGTAAACAAAATACAACAGCCAATATTGGCTATGGTATATATAATCATTGTAAGGTTACATTGACAGTTAATACGTCAAATTATAAGCATACAATAGCCATCGAGTATGAATTTTTACCATTTGAAAATAGTGCAGAGAGCAGAGAAAATCTATTGCTAGATTAATCTTTAGAAATTACTTTAAGGGAAGGAGTAGAAAAATCCCGCTCAATGAAAGTAAAGGACTTAATATGATTTTAATTATTTGTATTAATATTACTAAATTAATTGAAATAATGTCTAGTAAAAAGCAAAACGTATATATTTCGTATCATTTAAAAGTAGAAAAATATATTAGGCATTATGGGTTGATAATATTTTTTGTTAAAATTTACATGAATATTTTTACCTGAAGTTGATTCCATAAAAAATGTTTTCAATATCAAAACAAATATACAAATATAGAGTGGGCATGGGAAACTAGTAATCAACCTCATTATGCATTGGTAGCTTAGCAAGATGTAGACATCTTAATAATAATTCCTAGATGAAATTTCAGTTTTGTGTTTTCGTTTATTTATCTTAGTATATAAATCTTTCTATCTTATTCAATCTCTGAGCAAAAATGTTTAGACTTAGGATAATTTTTTTCTAATAGACATTTTATACAAAAATCATGTCAATGATCATGTCTATACCTAATAGCTAGTGTGAACAGGAAATTCAAAATTTTAATACCGACTCACAGGGTTATAATACCCTGCGAGTGGGTTGGCGGGTCTCACATATAATGGGTGTATGTATATATTAAGTCCTTACATATGAAATTGGCGTTTTGTATGAGGATCAAAAAGTAGATTTTTTTTAAATACAATATATTCAATTAATCAAAGTATGTACCGTTGCTATCTATGCCCTTTTGCCATCTTATGGGTAGTTCATTGATACCTCTACTAAAAAAACTATTTGGGAATCAATAAAATCTTTGAAGGCAGTTTCGGCTGCCCCATCAGAGTTGATTTTTTTTTTTACCTTGCAAGTTAACCAAATTTAGAAAAAGCAAGGTCAGGGCGGTGGATGTCTTAAACATTCCAATTAAAGCTTCTCTAATTTGGTAGCAGTCTGTTGGGCAGTGTGCGGTCTAGACATATTCTGCCGTAATTGTCTGGCCAGATTTAAGAAAGCTATAGCTCTAGTACACTAAACGTTCAAAAGTAACTTTTTCGGAATCAATTATCGCACGGGGCTTGATTTAGCTGGTTCGGCTGGGTTCAGCCATTGCGATGAGCACTTCCGATTATCGTACAGGAGATATTTGAGGTACTTTGACCCCTACTTTTGACTACTTGAAGCCCAGTACGACAAACGCCAATTTCATATGTACATCTAGTTGTATCCTAATATTTTTTAGTAGCTATACTGTTTCAAGGCAATAAAATAAAAAATACTTACAAATAGGGCCATTCGTGTTAGACTTCTCCTGCGGCTTCTCTTTCTCCTCCGAAGGCTTGACTCTGGGTTCTCTGATCCTTTGTGGTTGAGGAGGTAACATATCTGTAGTGAGGACCACTACATCCGACTGCTTATCGGTATCGTTGTGAGGCACATTTGGTTTTTTTGCTTTCGGTTTCTGTTTATTATCTATTACAATTGTGTTTTCACTAATCTTTTGGTGTTTCGTATATGTCATTTTAGGCACTATAACAGGACTGTCGGATATCGCCGACACGATGGGCGTTTCAACTTCCACATCGGCTCCTATATTATCGTTAACTAAATCAGACTTTACATTATTATTAGAACTTATTGCGTTTTGAGGTTGCTCGGGGCTGGCCATAGCAGGCACTTCGTAACATTTTGGTACATGGTTTGTTTTGGCAGTCTCGCCGCTAGATGGCTCGTTGGCAGCTTTACTAACCATCCGTGTGAACTCTTCCACAATACTCTGCGAGTTGTCCTGCTGTCATATAACACTAGTCAAATATATATAAAAAAAACATGTGTGTGACTTACGTACACGCGTCGAGTTTTACTTTTTCGTAACAAGATAAAATTAATTTAAAAAAATTTATTCTCGTTTGTAGAAAACGACACTAACAATAGAAAAAAGGTATTTTATTCATTGAAAGTTTTATTATAACGCATTATCTAGTTAAATATAGTTTTATTAAATATCACAAAAAGTTATTTCTACATAATTAAAGAAATGGACATTTTTTTAAATGTTGACTATGCTAACTTCAGGGTGTCGGTTTAATGTGACGGTGTGCTCAGGCATCGTAAAAATTTAGTGTCATCATTTTTCCCTAACGCAAAAGTCAAACCCAAATTCCCTAATAATAATAATCCAGTGGCTCTAAAACCCACACTGATCAGCCAATGTCTGACATATTTCATAGATTTTTGTTTGAACATGCCAGTTTCATCACGATGCCTTTGCCGTTCGAAGCAAGTGTCAATTGAGCACATGGAAAGACAATTCCATTGGAGCAGGACTGTGACTCAAACGTACGACTCCCTAAAATGTCCAAATTTGAAGACTTTGTTTGCCCTTACAACGTAGAAAGGTAAACAGTAGAGATTACACTAAACATGTTTTGAAGAAATATATGAATTGATTTATATAATATGCTGTATTATTTGACACTTTTTAATATGTGCCTAATTATTTTAACCGTTTTGAGTGTCTCTGATTTATCTTGGCATTTTTAGGCATACATGGGTAAGAACCCATGGCACTCAAATTGTTAAAAACATTATTAATTTCATTCTTAACATAATTATATAATAAAAACACATACCACTAGAGGCGTCTGCCTTTCACTCGAATTCTCACTCACATTTTCAGTTGCAAATAAATCTTCAGTAAATATATCTTGTCCTGTGAAAAACAATTATTTAATTTAGTAAGAAGATTTACGGCTTATAAAATAAAAATAACTGTGTGCCAATAAAAAAATCTTCACGATACAATAATTGAACAAACTCACGTGCACCTAAAATTACACAACACAATCCAAACGTGTACAATATACAACATTAAAAAGAATTACCTCTTTTAAGATAACATACAATTAATTTTTAACATTACTGGTAATCACTTTGATTTGACCAAAAACAGGACAAGTTATTGCTGAAATGAAAATTCTAGGCACAATTAAAAAGAAAGATGCTGGAGGGTCAAGTGTCAGAAAAAATGTACCCAAACCCAACATTAAAGTCACCTAGAGTGGAAATGTGTTCAGGTGTGAGTGAGTGAGTGACGTTACTGAGTTAGCGAGTGAGAATTACTTACTAGTCACTGGGTTAATTATTGGCACCCGGCGCGAGGTACGTTTTGCGGGTGGAAGGCGCATACCTGTAAAAAAACATTTCAGATGACATCTATTTTAATACAAAACTGATTTTTGTTAAATTAATCTTTTATTAATTAATTAATTTAATTTGTATTAAGAATATCTTGCACAGCTATTGTTTAATCCCTATTAACATTGGTACAACTAAAATAATTTGTATACATACCAGGTAAGTGCATATGGGATTGTTGTTGGGGCTGATGTGCCGGAGGCACTAGCGGACCTGGTGGACGAGGAGCGTTACTCCCAACACCCTGACCGTTATAGTAGTCTGGTGAGTAAGTCACTGGTTAAACATATAGACCATTAGTATCTTCACCAATAATATTCATAAAATATGATTTCGGGGAATTATTAATTATTTTACTGCCGATTATTGTTGGCTATTTGTAACATAACGAAAAATATTTATGATCCCTAGAGGTAATGACTGAAGAATGCTCTCGCCGATACAAAGCGTCTCCTGAATGCTGTCTCCGACTATCGACATATGTATATGTTCACAGAGTGAGTTCATTATATTTCATTTTTAATTTTGCAATTATCGTATTGACTTAGTACTGTTAGGACAGTGTATGTATTTTTGTAAAATATTTTAATGTATATCCCGTAGTTTAAGTTTGGGTTACGGTTTCAATAATTTTATTTTAATACTAATTTTGTAATAAATTCTAATCTTGATTTAATAAATCAAATTTCACTTAAAATTTAGCGAAACTTAGTGCGAAGTACGACAACTATATATCAATGTCACTATTTTTTTAATGTGGATATTCTAAACGTATCTTTGCCGGCAACTATTACTATCAGTTAGAATATTACAAAACAAACAAACATTTATTTTTATTCACATCTGTATATATACATTTTCAGTGCGTGCAATTAAACTCCTCGTAAACGAATAAACTGTTTTTGATGAAATTTTGTGTGTTTGACAATGAATTTACAGTTAGATGTTTATTGATTTAATAATACCGAATCATAAATATTTTACTTGCATTACAGTCACAAATCAGTAGCAATATATTTTAATCATAAAAACGGTCCAAATTCTTACGATTTATTTTTAGAATGATAGAAACTTTTGTATCTAAGACGTGTGTACAGGACATCTCTGGGATCCGCTAGTAAGATATTAGCAAAAAAAAATTATTACTCACAAGGCGATGTGTGGCTTGGATTTGTGTTGGGGTATACGTATGACATATATGGATAGTATCTGAAAATAATACAGCTATTAATCGAACATATAAACGTAGTTGGACAAGTGGCTTGAGCCAGCATCTCTCAACCCTGGCGTAGGTTCGAGCCTCGGCTGTGAATGGGTTACTTTAATTTCTACAGACGCATTTAACACTCGCTACGTGAAGGAAAACAGTGAGAAGACCGGCATGCCATAGACCCAAAAGGCTGACGGCATGTGGCACGCGTAAAAGGCTGATCATCTACTTGCCTATTGAAAAAATGACCACGAATCAGATACAGAAATCTAAGACCAAGAGTAATAGCACCACTGGATTTTTAATATAACTTTGTAAGATAGAAGATAGCGTGAGAGTGTATTCAAACCATAAGTTTTGACAGAAATTTTAAGTAACTTAACTTATTATTATGACATTATGATAATATTTCATGTTTATTTTTATATGGCCGATTGTCTTTTTATAATAAATCAATCGGAATTTATAGCTTTCTTTGCAAATAAACAATTTAATTTTATTATTTTAGAAGAAACTTTTAATAGTTCTCACCCAGGATTCGTGGATCGAGGCTGATAGCCCTGAGGTATTGACATGTGAGCAGTTGGGAATAACAATGTTGGATGGTACATCACCGGTCCACCAGTCGTACCCGCCGACCCTGGCATATAAGGCTGCTGCGGCCTGTAAACATTACACAAATAAAACATTACTAACCTAGGTACCTTTGAATATGTGCCCAATGTGTTGATATCTCAACTACTTAACCGATTTTGAACAGTCGAATAGAGCCGCCATTATGATTCTAAGGTGCCAAGAATTAAATTGTTATCCAGGCGAATATTAGTTTATTTACCGAATTTAAGGCAGCGTTTGCCTAGTGGCTAAAGCGTGCAACTGACATCCCCGAGTTTGTAGGTTCTACCCCGGCTGCGCAATGTAGTTTCGTTCTATGTGCGCATTCACCTTGCCTTAGACCCATAAGCGACGGCGTGTGACAAGCACAGGCTCATCACCTACTTGCCTAATTCACAAATGATCGTGAAAAAAATACAGAAATCTGAGGCCCAGACCTAAAATTGAAATAAGCAGTGAAATACTTATCAGTTTATCTCGATTATTTTGACTAAACTACTTGTTTGGAATTAAAAAACCAACAGATTTTTTTTCTCTTTTTTAATAAGTTGCGAGAAAACAAAATTATGAATTCCAAAGTTGCTACACTTCAAAATCGGCAAAATCGGCGTCTGATACACCGTTGGAGTTTTGCTGCCATTTATAATCCCACTCATAAAGTTTGGTCCAAATAGTGCCTGGAGTTAAACTAGGAAAACCGACTAGCCAAGAATACGTATAGGATACCGTTGTAATTTAATTTGGACTTTGCTTGAATAAAAGTCCCGATAAGGTACTGACTGTTCTATAGTTAGTATTATTTCGTAAGTATCACGTGGTAAATAGAAAAATACAATTTAAATTACTTTCTAACTTCTCAGACTTCCCACAATGGAAAGGGTGTTTTGTAACTTTCATGGTTCGGTACAATAATTTATTTGTAAAGCTTCCTTTGAAAACAATTTAACAACAATAACGAGGACTTGAAAACATACAAAAACAGCTGAAATTGCAAAACAATAGTCTATTTTAATATTTAGAAAGTCTCTCAGTGTTAACGGCTGTCAATTAATTAGCTCTCGCACGTCTATTCCACCTGCGCGATAGCTATGACGACAAATGCCAACATTTTTAAGGATTTCGCCATCTTTTGTACAATCTCGAGCGCAGTAGTTCAGATCAGGGATGCCAACTTATCCCCCAAATTTAGAAAGAATTAAGACCTTCAGGGACCTTCTATACAATTTATATTAGAAGTTACTCCTAGGGGGAATATTTTGTAAGAGTAGGCATCACTGGTTCACTTGCGAGTCAGTTGCATTTAAGTCCTCTTCGAAGCATAACGCATAATTTGAGACCCGCATTCCTTCGGCGCGTTAACTTTTTATCTATGTTTAAAGTTAGCCTTGTATATCTTTATTGTGCTAAAATTCCTTTTGTACTTTTTGTTTCGCACGGTTATACTTTTTAACAGTGAATGCTGAACTTTATATAATGAACATAGGTGTTGCGTAGGGGAGCGTGGGGCTAGTTGTAACAATTTTAACATATAATTGAATATCATGAAGTGTATTGGCTAAATTACTACTAAATAAACTTTGATCGATACTCTAACTATTTATCTATAAAGTCTAATCTAAATATTATCAAATCTACAGGCAACTATCTCACAATTTAATTTTTTTTGAAAAAAGTGAAGTGTTACAACTTACCCCGTGGTTGGGGCTAGTTGTAACAACAAAAATGACACCTTCAATTGTTTAATTTTTTCACATCTTGGATCATTTTGCTTTGTATATAACAAAAACTAACTAGGTATTTCTATAATGTGTTTTTTATGAAATAGTTAACTGGAAAAAAAATATAATCAACAAATTAAAGATTTAAGATTTTAACTATCTTCCAATTTTGAATATGAACTTAGAATCCTTTTTTTTCACCCTTTCTATTCCATCTTTATTTTTCGCAGATTTTTTTAACTTTTCCTTTCCCCTTTCACTTTTCTTTATCATCTTTTCTTCATATTCTACTCTCAAAGCTTCTTTTTCAGGCGTATCAGTCAGAACAGTAGACTTCCTTTTGCGTCTGCAATTTATATTTGTTTTTCGTGGTGGCGCCTTTGGTAATGGTCTAATCTTTGATGGGAAAAATTTATTTTGACCAGAGCAACTTGGAGTTGGTTTGTTCGCAGTTTCAATGTGGCGTATAATTTCTGTTGTGCTAATATCCACTTCAGGAGCAGAATCTAATAGTTCTGGATGTTTAAGATTCAACGATAAATTCTCACTTTAATTTAGAACATCTGATTCAACAATCTGATTGTTCTGTAGGCTCTGGAAATCAGTAAAATAAAAGGGCGCAAAGTCACTATCTTGGAAAATATCAACATTCAAAGGCCAAATACCAGAAGCTTTAAATCCACTGATAATATTTGCAAGGTTTAAGGCAAGTGATAATGACTCCTTCGCTACACTTATGATGTCATAAATTGTCATCGTTTTTCCTGGATTATTATACATCCATGCAGTATGTGCTCTGTTCACGTAGTTTTTAAAAGGGCCGTAGACTCCTACATCCATAGGTTGCAAATTGTGGGAGCAATGGGAGGGAAACTATAACATGATAACATTGTTTTCTTTGGCTTTTTCGACAACTGTGATATTCACATGTGAGCAATGATTATCGAGCAGTAACAGAACTGGCTCTTTCTTGGTAGGTTTCGAGTGTTTGATAAAATGATCTACAAAAATCAAAAATTCTTTATCAGTCATCCACCCTGAAGAATTACCAGCTCCAATGCAATCTTGAGGACCACCGCGAATGAAAATTTCTGAGTATTTAAGCCGGGGAAAAATGAACATCGGCCGTCAGTAACTTACAGCAATCTGGGGGCAAATTGTAACATGTTACAACAAACCCCGAGGTTTTGTTACAACTAGCCCCTTGATATAGTTCCTAATATTTATCACGATAACTATTAAATCAACTTAGTAATCTTGAAAACTGTTATACAACATCATAAATAGTTATATTTTAGCATAAAATAAAATACATAAATCTTCAAATCTATGAAAACAGTGAAACTAACAAAAAATTTACGTTAGTAAAATTATAGGTTACCTGTCAACAATAAAGCGTTTGCACACACCCACTCACTGAGCCGCCTGGCGGGACCCTGGCTGTGGTAAAGTGGCGTGGCACGTTATAAGTTTAAGATTAGGTTAAAAAAAAACGTGAATAAAATTCAAATTCCTATTGAAAAAGGTCTGTTACTATTTACCCCTGTTACAACAAGCCCCACGCTCCCCTAATAGTTTAAAGTGAAAATGGTGTTAACAAGATTGCGCGATGCGAGTCCGATGGGAATCGTCGAGTCTTCGTCTCAAGACGCGAGTTTGCCCATGCCGATGCCCATGAGTGCCCAAACCCATACGCTACTGACACCTGCACCACGGCCTACTGTTCCGCTACCACATATCCTATCATCAAGTGCGTCTCAGTTGATGATGTCAACCAGTGATTCGCGATCACCGCCGATTACCACGCAACCCTCGGTCGACGGTTGCCCTTCGTTTGATACACTATCGCTGCCCCAACCGCAGGTGCTACACCCATCACCATGTCTACAAATCAACTTCTATTGTTAGGTTATTAATTATTTGCTATTATTATCATTTTCTTTACTGCAACATAATTATGTATTTACAGTGTGTATTCGCGGATGCTTGGCGGGCCTATGTGACTTCTTCAACACAAAGAGTCCCCTCGTGAGTTGTGTGAGATATTTCGGGCTACTCGATTGTGGGGAAGTGGCATGGATCTAGTAAGCCCTGCGCCTTCTTAAGTCATTATGTGATTTTCACACGTGTTTATTCTGTCTATAACATATTTTCATAAGTATATGATTGTCCTCGTTTTAACATGTGTCATATTTGAAAGAATAAATAAAATAAAATTTGTCAAATGTACAAAGCCGCCAATTTTAAACCCCTGGACTGCTACAGACTCCCTTCATCAATTATCATCCATTTGAAGTGATTGCCAATTGATTTATTTGGACCATTACCAAAAAGAAGGTGAAACGGGTCTATTAGTGGAAGATACTGCTAGTCGATGGGTAGAGATTTTTGCAAATATGTTATAAGTAGGTTAAGAAAATGTTTTATGGTTTAAATATTTTTTTATATTATATTATTGTTAAATAAATTGGTATAGCAAGGAAAAATACTTTATTTGTTAAAAACATAGCTCACATGTATTATTATTACCTTCATGTATACATGCATAATCAGGCATAGAGAATATGCACCAAACAAATTTGTCACTGGTTTATTATCTTTATCTTTTATTGCAAGAAAGTTTGGTGAGATATGATGTTTTATCGATATTTATGTTTATTCTTTCCACATAACTTTTAAAGTACGTACGTAAACATACTTAACAAATGGAGTAGCAATGGAAACGTTTGGACTATACAGTGTTCATATAGCGGTATTTTAAAAGTTGCGTCGTTTTCACTTAATTTTGATAAATTAAAAAAAAATAACATTAACTGCTTTGTTTGATGAATTAATTTCCTTTTAAATTTTCCATCTACACTGAGCTATAATCGATAATAATCCAGCATCTAATACGCGTACAACTTAGAAACTGCGATATATTTTTTATTTGATGCACCATACTTATACTACTATAATAAGGAGAGCTATCTTATCTAAAATAAAGTGTATCATATTGTTTAGCAATAGTCTTACCTATTTATGTACATACATATAACAATCACTTTGTATTAATTGGATGACAACATATTAAGGTAAAATTTTTTCTTTAATACAAGTAATTCGTTATTAAAAATATTTTTTATTACATATTACCTATGCCACAACCTTTTAAGGTCTGGGCCTCAGATTTCTGTATCTGTTTCATGATCTAATAAGCAAGTAGGTGATCAGCCGCCTGTGCCTGACACGTCGTCGACGTTTTCGGTCTAAGGCAAGCCGGTTTCCTCACGATGATTTTATTCACCGTTCGAGCGAATGTTAAATGGGCACATAGAAATAAAGTCCAATGGTGCACAGCCTGGGATTGAAACTGTGACCTCAGGGATGAGAGTAGCATGCTGAAGCCACTAGGCCAACACTGCTCTAAAAGTATAGAAATGAAAATTGTATTGTAAAAATAATAGTGAATTTCCCAATACATGAAATTTAATATTGAACAGCGAATTTGAAACTACTGAAGTTGAAATGAAGTTAGTAATTGTTGGTCTACCTTGTTGTTATTCAAAGATCGCCTAGGCATCATAACATCTAACATTTTGCTATGCTATCCCAGAGATTGTTCCGTTTTATGAAATGAAAACTTTTAGGTTACCTCAGAGTTCAAATCATAAGATTTTATTTAACCAACTACCTAACAAAGGTGTTGATCGTAGAGGGGTGAAAATAGGGGTAGTATGTATTTTTTTATGCTGTACCATAAAAAAATCAAACAAAAAAATTGTCTAAAAAAAGAAAAAAGTTTTTTTTTGGGTGGACAACCCTTATCACTTAGGAGTTTAAAAGATATATAGTAGCCGATCTCAGACTTACTGAATATGCATAAGAATCAGTCGAGCCGTTTCGGAGTAGTATGGTAACGAACATTGTGACACGAGAATGTTATATATTAGATAGATTTCTTATTTTGATATAGCTTGTGACATCTAACGTCAAAATTTGTAATTACCACGAGAGTTACAGTTTTCCATAGCAATTTGTCTATTTAATTGTCTTTGCCGAATTAGCGGATGAAACCGCGAGGCACAGCTAGTTTAATGGCCATAATGAACATATCCTAGCTACATTGTGTTTACCCCGTGATAAAATGCTACTTTAGTTATTTAATCAAATACCAAAATTATAATTACTACAATATACCTAGAGGTTAAAACTGTAAACAATAATTTAATATCATATACGACTAAGAGCGAGATAAAATATTTTTACTGTTGAAAATTAAAACTGTATTTGGCTTTGAACATTAGCCTTTGGGTATGAGCTACATTATCCACGAGTTAGCGAAAAGGGAATGTGAAGCAAGGAAAGAATAACGCAAGGGATATACCTGGAAGTTATTAAAATGCTTTCGAACACTTAAGCTAATAGGTAAATTTTAAAATATATTGCTCGGTGCGCTAGGCAGCATGCGGGCCTGCCAGTTGAGGGCTAAAGGGTTTGAAATACACTACGAATTAGGGAAATAGATCACATATCCAGGGTTGTAATTTAACGTTTTCAGCAGAAAGTCAGGATGTATTCCTTATGAGGTTGCGCAGTGCCCGTGACTTGGGGGCTGAAGAGTTTTATACCATATACACACAGCCTGAGTTGCGGGTTATAACCATAGGACTTGAGGCAGTTAAACTAACAAAAATAACAGATTCAACTTGAAAAACAATATTTGATCCCATATATAAATCTATCTCTGATTTTCTCACAAGTGGGTCACCAGAGGTAGGAACTAATTCTCCTGTATATCAGTCAAACTAACACCCGGTATCGCCACTTCAAGTAGCTGATCATAGCTTATTCGAGCGCCCCCTCTATCTGCTACGGTTTGGCGTCGTGGAATTAAAGTTGAAGACGGAGACCAATTTCCCGTCCATCTATATGCTGCCCGAATAAAAGATCTTGCATAATTTCGTGCATAAGGGTCCACATACATCTATTTTAGCCAAGTATGGCAGCCTTCTTGTTGTGGGGGTTTTTTTTGCCACCACCGCTAGGTGTCACCGATTAGGCGGGACGTTGATTTTTTTTTTTGAATCTTCAGACCCTGGACTTGCCAGAATTTTTCTCTACTCACTTTTAGAATCTCTAAAGAAACCCTAATAACTATCCCGCTATCCTCCAGCCCCTAAGTAAGGCGATGAATGAATTCACACATTTTATACAGTTTAAGTCAGAATAGGGTTTAGCTGAAAATCAGTCGCTTAGTCCCACTCAAACACATTCGAACATTATTTATAGTTTTTTACAAGGTCTGGTTTTGTTAACGGTTTATTAGAAATATTAAAGTTAAGACTAGTCAAAATCAATAATTAATACGTATATTTAAAAAAAAACCTTACCTGTTATGAGTTGCAGGTCTTGTGGAGTGCTGAGCAGCTCTATACTGGAAGTTGGAATACTGTGGCCTCGCTGTAGCCGTTGCGTTCGGCGGTGACGCATAATTATGGCCCTGGAATTAGTTTTCAATCCCATTTTATGTTTAACTCGGCTGCTAGATCGTGTGGAATTAGATATTGCTTTGTATAAAATTCATCAATAGACCTCAAGACCTTTTGAGTACATTTATTTTCCGCGCTTAATTGTAATTTTCGGTGACAATATTCGTCGCTTGAATTATGGTTACGTGAAAGAATGCGCTAAAACCATAGCTCGATCAAAAGGATTCAACGTCTATCTTCCACTATATTTAATACTAAGAAAGTTCCATCGATTTATGTTTTGTTTTAATTGTAATGCAACCGCATTATAATTAACCTATAATTCTAAGATAAATCTGTGTGTGCGAAAAGATACAGCCATCGCTCGCATCAAATTAACTGATTGGATTCAACTTAGTTTACTAGTTACTTAAAATTCGGTATAATGAAAACAAGCAGATATAATAAATACTATTTAATATACGCTTCTTAAAATTCCTATTGTTCATTTTGCAGTTCATTGTGCAGTTGCAATCAAAGTTTCCTAGTAAAAAAATATATACTTAGCATATTATACAATAAAACCGCACTGGTTATGTAAAATCAGTTTTTTGGGCTTTAACAATGTTTTTACTACCTTTTAAGTGTTGAGTTACCACGAAGTTATAGAACTGGACATATGCCGATAACAAAATATGGAAATAGAGCGAAAGGGTGTTAAATGGAACGGAACGCAGAACTGTGCAAAGCTTTATAAATTTCCTTCTCTAATCAATATATACAGCTTAATCAATAAAATAGTTTAAGATCATGAATTAATGCGGTTTTGATCGTTTATAACATAATTCGGTGATATATTTCGGATATTGGGGATATATAATATATCATAACGTTATTAACGTCAAACAACATTGTTGGACATATTATATATTTCCATAAAGAATTTAATATGGATAAGGCCTCTGTCACTCATAATCAAACTGTAACTGTAATGAATCATTTTGAATTTCAAAATTTTTTTATTCAATAAATAGTAAAACAACTTATCCATAATAAAAAAACAAAGTTGAGAAATGATGGACAGCTAACCAACCCTAGTTAGCAAAGGTTTCCTATTTTATTTTCAATTTGCCTTAAAAACGTAAGAGCACGTTTATTTTATTTTTATTCACTTACCATATTGTTCTTCGTCATCTCAGGCTGCGGCGGCGCGGAAGGCTGTGGTGTCGACGGGCCTCTCATAGTCGGAGCGGGGGCAGCTGCGTTACCGCCGGTCATGTATGAAGGACCAGCCGCGCCACCGGGGTGGTAACACTCCGCTCCGGATCCTGGTATAGACACTGACACAAAAAAATATCAAATAAAATATTGCTTCAAATCGATGATTAAGAATTTAAATTAAGTTAAGTAACTGATTACTGCATGCGTCATTTAATAAATAAAACAGTTAAATTAACTGCTGCGCGTTTGTTAGCTAAGCACGATTAGTATAATGACGATATCCCTACTCATCTAATACTATTTGATTGAATGTTTACGTAGCATTTGTCTCCACAAAAATGCTGAGCTACAGTCGACCCACCTTTAATGCAGTATCATGTTTCGTGATGCGATATTAAATTTACATAATACTAGTTCCATCTTCAGAACTATTACACACTCTAAACAAACCTACTTAAAAGGTACGAACGAATGCATTTTTTTTATTTAATACAATACACTTGTGTGTACATATATATACTAGCGATATTTATGCATCGTAAAACCGTATCGAAGGAAGAAAATCGATAACACAACGCGATTCTGATTAAAATACAATCCATGCGAATAGTGGCCGCATTTTCACGTTTGGTTAAATTTTACAGCATTGGGCTGAAACATGCTAAATAAAAAGGTATTTTCTTCTTTGAAGCAAATCCAACTCACTGTGTGGTGTTGAGGCCCGCGGATAACTGTGTAATATTTATTAAGGAAATTTATTAAATATAATGGTCACAGCTTACACGCAAATTTACCGTAAAAATTATGTGGCGCTACAAACTTCTTAACCTTAATACACGTTTAAAAAGTGATTGTGTGGTTCGCCACTTACTGGATTGAGATCCGACCCGGTACTGCGAAGGGCGATTTACTTTAGAATGAAGAATGGGTTGCTGCTTAGCTGGCGATTGCACCTGCTTGTGAGCCATTTGGCTATGGTTCAACTGCATTCCGTGGTTGGGATGGTTCATGTGCCCCACATGAGACATATTGTTATTTAACTTGTGCCCATTGTGAGTCTGGTTCCTAACAGTTCCTTGATTGTAATTGGAATGACGAATTTGGCTCATTGACTTCAAATGGTTCGCGTGGTTCATCTGGTTGATATGTTTCTGACTTTGATGGTCGGGTGTGGCATGATTAACATGGTTTACAGTGGGGTTCATGCGGTTGGTGCGCTGTTGGTTGTGCCCCAGGTGATTGAGACTGGCTCCGGGAGCGGTGTGGGGTGCCGCTAGGTGGTGGCGGGGCGCAGCCACTGTATGTGCCACGGCGTGGGGCATATTCAGCGCCGTCTGGAGATTCTGTGAGATGTCAATGGTTTGCTGCCCTCCAGGGTATCCACAACCAAGTGGCAAATTTCCATACGAATTGTTACCTCTTATCGCGACCATCTTAATTTCATGATACAAACTTTTCAGAAATTGAGCGAGCCAAACGTTGAACCATTCCCAAAACTGTGGCGACACGACCATTGGCGAGGCTCCCGTTTCACTAAATTATCTAACACTGGATACTAAATTATTGCTTCTCATTTTGTACTTGCCGGTGTATATTTGTTATAGTATCTAGCTTCTACTTCAAGCACTTAATTACGATAATATTATAAAATTCCCGAGCGAATAACGCATGGTGCCAATAAATTATTTGCAGACCGCATTCACAATATAAAGAGTAATATAATGCAGCAAAGGAGAAAATCGATATGGAAACGGCGCGCTACATCGGGCGCCGTTTTTCGTCTCCAAAATATGAACCAGTCGTGAGTTCAGTGAAGATTTTACGAGCATTAACAACTACGAAAGCTAGCACTTCTATGGGAAACCACTTAATATAATAAACACTACGATTTAACGCGTAATACTTAATAAATATACAAAATTCGTTCAGAGTACACCCTTCACTCCATCACGGTTTTATTGTATAAGCGAGGGTTACGAGCGGCAGTAGAGGGAGAGGGCGCTATGGCATCGCCACAGGAGGCGTTTCGCATATCGTCGGTCGCCCCTGCGAGAGGTCGCCGCGACTGTTGCGCCGGGGAAAGTTTTTCGGAGAATACACTGCGCTGCGGTGACACATTTCAAATTGCCTTTGTCTCTTGTAAAGCGCAATGGTTAAGATGCGTTTAATTTCAGTATCGGGTGGTAAGTAAATTTTAAACTCTATATGGTTAGTGATTTTCTTTTCTTTCACTTATCTATCCTTTGTTTAACTATCACGTGGCGCCCTCATAAGATTAAGATGCTCAAGTTCTCTTTAAGAAAACAAGTAAGGAATGACAGTAATTAATATTCCATTCACTAATAAATTACGTTAAGAAAATTTACATTTGGAAGCATGACAAAGGACAAAAAATATATAAATCGGTTTAAAAAAAATATATAAAACAAATAACAATCATATTTGATTTGAAACGTTTTAATAACTAGGCCACTTTTTTATTTATAACATAAACTCAATGTTAGTAAATTGCAAGAGTTGTTTCGTAACGCGAATTATAATAAAAACTACGTCTACTACTACTATGAAAATGAGACGCCTTTTCATGTTTTAACTTTAAAGAGGATGTAAAAATGGTGTTCACAACTTAAATGACCCGTGTTTGTCTGCTGTTTTACCAAAAACATAGAAAACTATAGGTAGTAATAAGTTTTTTTTTACTATCAACAAAGAAAACTACTGTCTTACCATAAATCCAATAGAAACAGTAAGCTAAAAATTAATACTACTTTTAAAACATCATATGAGATAGAAGGATTTCAAATATACAACAACTTTTACAATTTTAACAATGTAAATGCATGAAGAACATACAGAGACTTAATTATTATTAATAAAATCTGCCCTTTAGGGGTATTTTATACATAGTTTTACAGACTTGTAAAGTTTACCTTGCAAAAGTTAGTTTATTTCTGAATCACACAGAATTACACTGATTTGAAGTTTGAACTGTGTCGTTGACATTCAAATTGCTTCTAAGACTGATAAAAATGTATTTTGAAGTTACAATTTAACACTTATTTATTCACAGAATGTTTTGTTGTTATTGTTACTAAAATGAACAAGCAACATTTAAAAACATATATCAATTCTCTTGATACCTGTACATTTATGAAAACAGCCCTTTATAAACATATTTTATTATACTCTCTTCCCATTAATTTATTTATATTTTAGGAAATATTCACATTGTTTGACTACATGTTTACAAATCAAAATACATTGTGATCAAATGTTTTGTAAACAATTATTCTAAAGTGATACAAGCTACTTGTATCATTAAAAAAGTTCATTATGAAATCATACAATATTAAGTTAAATTTAATAATGTATTTATTTTGTTAATGATTTGTAATTGAGTGCTTATCTAATGAAGCAAATGTACTAGTCACTGTAAATAAATTAATTTATGCATTTCTATTATCTATCTGCTCCTTGGAACCTAGTTTGGCTTTTCTTCTAGACGACTGCCTGAATTGGACATTTTATGGATATTCCTACTCCCAAGTATACTGAGGTTGTGTGAAGTACTAAGGAGATTGTCTTAAATTTAGGAGACAAGACAAAAGAATCTTTCTTGGGCAGTAATCAAACAAAAGTTTAGTCTTTGAAGGGGTAAATTTAACAGTCTTGCTACTACCCCAAATCAAAACTTTTCTAGTACAGAAATTAAATTTTAGTAACAAATATGCTACTCATCAACTTCAAAAGGTGAGCACACCTAGCGGAGGATTCTTCAGCACCAGAAGGGCAGGGGCCCTCTTGAGGAAAAATTGTTATATTTATATAATGCTACAATGATTTGTAAAAGGGGGATGAGATTCTTGGAGTCCCGTTTATACTAAATGAAACAAAACATTCATAAAGGAATCAATAAACTTAAATTCATTATTATAAGTATAAGTATCTTACACTATTCTAATATTTATGTAAATATTACCTGATATTAGCAAAACTATACTAGGTCGAGGATGACTGCTGTTATTTGGGTGATGTTGATCCAAATGCATTATAGTTAAAAAATTTACAAGCTGCTTAAGATGGGTTATATTTACATTGTTGTGATTTCCTTGTATTCCAAGGACGAGGTGAAAGGTATTCTATGTGTTATGGCCTTAAAAGTACTGCTAGTGATGATATCCTGCAAGTAATTGGATGTAAACATTATTTTTAAATATCTTATATGTATTACCATAAATTTGATGGTGGCATTAAAGCTACACACTTAGTAAATTAAATTCGCCATTAAAAATCGCCTTACAGAATAAAGATAATTCAAGACATTTTTAACTTACAACAATAAACAATACTTTCATACATTTAAGCTCTATAAATAATTATTCTCTTCATAAATTGATGTTTGAGGATTGCTCAATAGGTCAAACTCCCCATGCCATATATATTTTCTACTATTTGATACTTAAGAGTTGTTAACATAAGAAAATGTATGTTCTACTAACTTAATAATTATAACAACAAAGATGACAGAAGAGTTACACATGAACTTTTAGAAGAAATATTACAGCTCTATTCGGCCAAGAATTAGGAAGCCTTGGTTCTGAAGCCATGTATTACCTTCTAAGACAATAATTACACTTCCTACAATTAATGTTTTGTAAAATGAAAAACCACACAATCACTCTTCGCAAACGCATTGTGAAGTGGACAACATTACGTAAATAAATCATAAGTAAATACAAAAGGATACGGTACGGGACCGCGCGGTGGTGCCAGCGGCACCTGGTTGCCGTTTCCACTCATATCGTTGGCAGCATAGGTCTCACGATACGTAAACCACTCTAGGTGGCACGCTATTCAGCCTTTACTGATACTAGGACACATCCGGCAATACGGAGACCTTTACTAGATGTCACCGTGACAGCTTGCACGTTTTAATTATGAGCCTTCGTCAGCAACGTTTCCAGCAAAAACATTTTACATCACACGCAGCAGCACAATGCAGATATACTCTACCTTTAATAATATTGCATCACTAGGTATCTATAAAACGAACCAGTTACCAGGGCCAGTCACTAAACACTAAACAAACGACTGTACAAAATGGCGGATGTTAACCAATAAACAAACGGACCTGTCGCGGTTTTTTAAATTTATTATTTAATAACTTAACTGTATATTTATTGCTGTGGTTTGTTAAAATTTAAATAAGAATAAAAAAATTTAAATATGGTTTTGTAATAGCAAAATATCACGATATAATATATTTTATTTTTTGAACTTGTCATTCGATCGTTCACGTATCACATTACCACAGAATACTCTACTAATCTACTTAAGAGTCACGCTGCACGCATGCAGTGCTTGCTTTACTTCACTTACCTGTCAAAATATTTTCGTGATTTGTTTAGCCATAGGCGACCTCTATGCTCGCCGATCTATGCTACCTATGTTGGCAGGTTTATGTACGATTACTACTTTGCGTGAATTAATTGTAAAACTGTAGCAGTAGTTTTTAAAGTAAAGAATTTAATCGGTTAAAAATTGGCTTCGGTTCGCAACTTAAGCAAACTGCTTACCTTTAATATATGTCTATGGTAGAGATAGATTATACGCTATGCACCAAAAAACAGCTATTATGATGAGTTTGAAATTCTTTGATCATAAATAATTAAAACTCTCATTAAGTTAAGAAAGTTGAAATTGAGCGAATATTTTAAAATGTTAAAACCGCTGAATAGCATGCCGTGCGCTAGTTTCAGCGACCGGGTGAGGGCACAGATCAAGTAGACTAAGTAATTATTTTTGTTTAAGTTTATTACTTTGTCTTTCGTCTAAATGAAGTAACGAGCAAGGGCCATAAAATATTAAATTAAAAAAAACTGAATTTGTCAACGGGTAACTCGGCTATGAAACTTACATGTACTCGACTTATAATTTTAAAATTGCACTTATTTAAATACTAATAGGGTTTTATGACACAAATTGACGATTTAAAAGTGTGAAATTTAAGTGTTAAAGCGTTTATGCGTTTTAGCTTACCAAGTGTGTTTGTATAGATAGTTAATAAATAATTTTGATGAGTTTTTGAAGTTTATTGTACTTGTTGATCTTTATAATGTTAAATAATCTATCATCTATGGGTAGGTTTATTTTTACGTTACGCCCAATTTATGTACCTAATCAGAAAATAAATGTGTCGCACTCATTTTACATTAAAAATAGTATGATGTCCATTGATGCGCCCTTTACACTAGTGGTAAGATTCAGAATCGAGACACAGCCCTAACCTAAATATTACTTCAGTATGCCATATTATTTTTTTTTACTTAGGGGGACCATAGTTCGCGCTAGCTTCATCGTGTCAGGAGTAGGGAATGCAATCCCGATCCCGCGGGATTCTGATCTCGCGAGATCCCGTGTCATTTTTCGGGATCAATCCCGAAGCATAATATGACGAGATCCCGTTCGAGATTGACGGGATTGGGAGATACTGATTTAGTTAGTGCAGAACATACGTTGCGTTTCGTTATTCGAAAGCTAGAAGACCTAGAAACTACTCTCTCAGAAAAGTTGGTCCCTTCGATAAAAAATCTAAAAAATCCGAATAATTTTCAAGATGATTTGGAGCAATGGAAAGGCAATGAGACTTTCCAATTGCCAAGCAAATATCTAAATCGAAGAAATCAAAAAATATAATCACACTATTATAGAGATTAATAGAGAGTAGTAGGAACAAGTAGAAATTAATACATAGTATTAAACGAAGATCACTTGCCACTTTCTATGATTGCAGAGAATTTAAATATGTATAAATTCTACTGCTACACAAACTAATACATCACTTCAAGAGGAATTAGAAGAAACTCTCCGAAACGCTAGCTTAGACAAATTAGAGTCAGTAATACAAAAATAAATGGATTTTTTGAGTGTGGAGGAACAAGGGGGCGATTTTTTCAGTTTATATAATATAATTGCTTATTCACGCTGTTGCCAACCAGTGTTGAGTTGGAGAAAGCATTCTCAGCAGCTGGGTACATCGCAACGAACATTAGATGCCGGTTATCAGATAGCACTCTTGATACACTTTTTTTAAACAAGTTACTTTCAAAATGTACTACTTTTAATATCCTTAAATAATATCTTCTTTTGTTTTGATTATGTTAAGTTCGTAAAACTATTAATTATTAAGTTAGTACTAAAGGCCTTTGTTTTCTTTCAAATAATATTTTGTTTTAATTAACCTCATTATGACAAACAAGCAGTTTTCATCATATTCAATCATGTGAAATTCACATTTTTTTTAAACATGACGAGATCTCGAAAATCTCGGGATCCCGCTGGATTGATATTTCTAATCCCGCGGGATCTCGAATTTACGATCTCGAGTCGGGATTGCATTCCCTAGTCAGGAGACAGGAGCGTCTACTGCAATACATTATACAATGTGTTAGAATAGTTATGTTTACTAAGACGTTATTTATTTGTTTCCGTAACGTATATATTACAGTTAAAGTATTTTTTGGTTGAAAGAAGTTTGAAATATCTTTATCCATTTATCTAAATTAATATTACTCTAGTAAAAATGAAAAATATTATAATATTCGTGTGCCGCGTAAACGGAAATGTGTGACCGACTTATGATTCGATTGTTGATTCGATTTATGATTTTAGCCTCGGAATGACTTTTAGTGCACAAGCATATTTAATAAACATCTAACACACGTGCTTGAAAGCTTGAATATATCTTAGTACCTACTCATATATTATCTGATTTCCAAATAGCACATACAAACAGGTCAAACTTATAAGATAACCTTCTTTTGGCGTCGGTTTATAAAGTAATAGGCAAGTACCACGAGTATGCATAATGCAAGTCGAGAAAACTAACACAACAGTTACAATCACAGCTTGTAATAGATGATTTAATTTACAGTAATCAGTATACTTAACGTGTATAAAGAAATGCCCATTTGAAATAATAGTTTGTGATTGTATAAAACTTACCTTCATCTCTTAGAGGCTCTTCAGTTGCTTGGTTTTCTTTGTCTTCGTGAATAATATCTTTGCTATACAGATACAAATTCCCGTCGTGTTCATGATACACCTTTTTTATAGTAAAATAATGTTTTTCATCATGTTGGTTGAGTTCTATTACAGAAGGGTCGCAGAGTAAAAGGCTACGAGGTCTATCTTCATTCCTTAATTTTTTCTTGTCCGTATAGCATTCCTTTTTGCAGTGTGTTTCTATAAAAACGTCGAAGTTCCTCTCCTCTGTGACAAAAATCTTTTCCACTATTACTTTATATGGCGAAGTAGTTCTAAATGAGGACGGACCTTCGTCTTCAAAGTTATTATTTGTCACTTCAGTGTTAATTCGGCCCCAGGAGGTTTTTCCTCCATTTCGCAGATAAACCTCACAATTATGTTTGACACCTGTAAAAATACTTAAGTATACATGTTGCCTTCCAACAAAAGCCTGCCATATAAAGGCAAGGAACTGAAACTACGATATATGGGTTGGTTGACAAAACTTTTTTTTTTTAAATACTTATACGCGTTTCCGGCAGCAAAAATCACCTGGAGGTGTTTCAATGAAGGTCCCCCGAGACTCCTGCATAATCAGTATCATAAAATTCGTGCGACATCCTACCCCGTCTTTGAATTAGTAAAATAAAAAAAATCTAAGATTTAAATCAACACTATTGATATATTTGTTATTAGTATTACTTATATTTTTCAGTAGTAACTCTCTGAGTTCACTTTTTTAGTAGTAACTAGTCAAGTAATATTTTTCAATTTGTAATTTACAGTAACGACTTTGATATGACGTCGATCTACCGTTTTCCACTGTGGTTAGCCATAGCAATATTCGGCCACTGGCTAAAGCTAACGAATTCTTGAGATAAGTTAAAAATGATTATATATTACTTACGGCGTGGCGAAAAGAAGTAATTGCACCTATTGCAGTAGGAAAATTCGCAGATGTCCCCGTCTATATTTTTGTTGTACAGTCTTTTCTCTCCATTAACGATTACAAATAAGGGCCAATTATTCCCAACGTAACAATGCGCTGCCGCTTTGACAAGAAACAAGTTATCTTTTTTAAATCCTCCAGAAATTAGCGAACAAGGCATGACTAAAGATTTTGCAACACATGTGGACTGCGCACTGCAAATTACTGGCGCGTAATTCTTAAACTACCTTCATTTTTGTTGTGAGGCGTCTTTTCGCTGCATGATGCATTTTTTGTTCCTACCTCCAAATAACTAAAGCGTTACGAATTTCTTCATTTGCTAATACACAAAATATAAAGTATTTCACTTCATTTATTTACTCCACTTTCATTCCATAGTAATTTTGCTACTATATTCTTGGTCTAAGTTAGTTATTATTATTATTGTTTTGGACCTTAGTATGTACCACTAGGCTGAAAAAAAAAATTTCTTCAATCTAATTAAACGAACTTGACCTTCCATCACACATAAATCCGTTAGCGGGTTCACACAATTTGTTTTAAACCTATTTTTATTGTCAATTCAAATTATTTCTGCTGAGAGATATACTATGTTTATATGTTTCATTTATTGTCCTAAGTCCATATTAAGGGTTTTACTTGACAATTTGTTGGCGACCCCCTAGGCAAGCAGTATGTCACGGCAAAAACAGCACCAGAGCCGAAAGAATTATCTCCAACGGTAGATTAACTACTTAATGTAAAGTCGAACTTTAAAAAGTGCCTGATTACGTAGTAACTGAAAGACTTGCATGGCGTAAGTAACCATTATGAGTACGACTAGTAATTTCAAATAATCCACTTACAAAATGTTTTATTAATACCGTGGTACCCCGACATATGGGTTTAATTCGTTCCGTAACCTTGCTTTTAACGGCGACTTGCATATAAATAATGATTTAGTTAGCTCGTTAGGCTTCGATTGAGATCGATCGACTTTAAAGTTTAAACTGACAGAATTCACAGCAGTTGCAAAGTCCATTATTTTTTTATGAAAGCCTTAAAGTTTAATCTCGTTAAATTACATTAAAAATACTTTTGTCCATCGCAATTTAGTTATATAATAAAAGATAAGATAAATCAATAAGCGTGGAATTTAAACCTCTTTTCGCCTTACTTCGAAAATGTTTTTATGAACCGCCTCCGGGATCTAAAGTTGCTTTAATTAAAGTCTAGAAACCTAAAGATCCTAGGTTCGTTTACTGTGGATGTCAGTTTTTGTCACCTTCCCATCCAGAAAAGCTTTTGTGTATCCAACATTAAGCTAAGTTTTCTAGACGGTTAGCGGATTTCGGGTTCATATATTAAATAAAACAACTAATTAATATAAAAATTATATTTTTTTTTAATAACATTGGCACAATAATATATTTTTTAACCTCCAAAGCTCAGCAATGCCTGGCTTTTGGAAATGTCACTTTGATTCACAAAAATAAATATTATCAATTATTTTTGTTCTGTTACCGTAATCTATATAAATGCCCTGTTTCTACATTCAACTACCAGTGGTAATGTTTTTCGATTTCTTTTCATAAATTAATTTTATCGATAACAAAAGTATTATTATCACAGTTTGCGTTCATTACATTTCACCAACTTATAACATATATAAATGCACAATTAGACAAAAAGGAGCATTTTCATCTTATGGTGAAAAAAATTACAGTACATTTACCCATCAAAATTCCGTCTGCGGCAAGCGTCACTTACCTTCGATGTTCAACTTTAATAAATCGTTTATACTTAAATGATTAAAAATTTGATTAAATAGAAATAACTAAACGAGGCACTCTACATTAAATTGTGCGAAAATAAAAAATAAAAATTATTTTCTTTGAACCGGGCCGGTCTTAGTTTTAATAATATATTATATTAGGTCCTTACATAGGAAATTGGCGTATTTCGTACTGGCCACTTTAATCACGATGTTCTCCTTTTTGGTAAGGAATTCCAAATTCAAATTTGTACAGCTATTTACTCTTGTATTTGTGCTTCGATGACCGTCATTCATTTGTTTTTTTCTTCTGTTTTTTTCTGTTTGCGTCACTCATTTTACAAAATGGAAAACTTAAAGTATCGCAGTATTTCCGCCGTGGCACTAATGCTGCGGAAACGACTCGAAGGGTGAATGATGTGTATGGCGTTCATGTTGCAAAAGAAAACACAGTTCGTTTTTGGTTCCAACGTTTTCGTTCTGGAAATTTCGACCTGCAGAACAAGCCCCGTGGACGGCCTGAGACCCAAGTTAATAATGAAGTATTGAAGTTTATTGTGGAAGCGGATCCATCGCAAACCACGTCCGAGTTAGCTGCAGGCTGCGGTGTTAGTGATAAAACTGTTTTAATTCACTTGTAGCTAATTGGGAAGATTAAAAAGCTTGAAAGATGGGTACCTCACGAATTGACTGAAGCAACCGGCAAACGCGCGTCGACTGCTGCGTTACATTACTGAACCAGCACAATAATGAAGGTATTTTAAACCGAATCATTACCTGTGATGAAAAATGGATTCTTTATGATAACCGGAAGCGCTCCGCGCAGGGGTTGGATCCTGGCCAGCCAGCCAAATCCTGCCCCAAGCGAAAATTAACCCCAAAAAAGTTACTTGTAAGCGTTTGGTGGACTAATGCCGGTATTATTCATTGCAGTTTTCTCAAATCTGGCCAGACTATTACGGGTGATGTCTATTGTCAGCAATTGCAAACCGTGATGGAAAAGCTAGCGGCTAAACAACCTAGGCTGGTCAATCGCTCCATGCCACTGCTACTTCACGACAACGCTAGACCACACACTGCACAACAGACGGCTACCAAATTAGAAGAGCTTCAATTGGAATTCCTCATCCTCCGTACTCCCTGGACCTTGCTCCAACAGATTACCTTTTTTTTCGAAATTTGGACAACTTTTTGTAAGGGAAAAAATTTTACTCTGATGGGGCAGTCCAAATCGCCTTCAGAGATTTTATTGATTCCCGTCCAACTGGTTTTTTTAGTAAAGGGATCAATAAACTACCTATGAGATGGCAAAAGTGCATAGAAAACAATGGTTCATACTTTGATTAATTAAATATATTATATTTAAAAATATTCGACTTTTTGTTCCTCCCATACAAAACGCCAATTTCATATGTAAGGACCTAATAGCTATAATTATTTAAAAAAAGCTTATTTCAGCTACTTTGAAAGTATGGAAGTTTGAAAACTTTGAAAGTTGACTTGTAGCTTGTTTTAATGAATCCGTTGTACGATTACAAAAATAATTTTACAAAAGATAAAATTATTATTTTTTTCGTTACCGACATTCAATTATTTGATATTTTTATACATTTTACATAAATATAGTATGTCAAAAAAAATTGGATCAGGATCTCATCATCAGACCCTAAATCACCAGCTGAAAATACAAACACAACAAATTTTAAAATTATAGGGATTCTACCAAAAACACACGACGAAATCAGTTCTCTTTTAAGCCAGTTAAAATAACATCTCAAAAATTTCTGAAATTATTTAAATATAGGTTGTGTCCGCCTCGAACGATGGATTTGTTGCACCTTTTAGATCTTGAAGCTTCGATATATCATTCCTTTTCTGAAATAAATAATACATATTATATATTCAACGAATCGGAACGACACGAAATTTAATGCAGACTGTTAAAATACGGAAAGTCTCATATATCGGGCACGCTTTGCGTCAGCGATCGATCGATGCAATCAATCGATTTGTTGCAGCTTATAATAAGGAGCAATTCAAGGCATGAGAGGGGCTGGACAGAGTCGTTGTTGCGGAACGTACGGCAGTGGAAACAGAGGAAGATACCCGGCCATTCAAGTTGTTAATAGCCAACCTTTAGTAATAAAATGGCACCAGAAGCTAGGTCGTGGATTGGATTTCCTTCCAATTCTTGAAAAGACTTCAACTATTAGAATTAATTATTCGATTTTTTTATATAACGGTGTTAAGTGCTACCGCCGCCCATAGACACTTTGATTGCTAGAAGGCTTGCAAGTGCGTTGCCGGCCTTAAAATCTATAAATCGATTATCTATTAATCTTTATATTCAGAGAAAGCTAAAACCTGACTATGTTAGTGCGTCTTAAACAATCCTCACGATATTTTATTCCCGGAATTCGAAGGCACGACTTTTATTACAATTAAAATTCTCAAACAAATCGAAAACTCTACTCACCAATGAACGGTACACTGTATTTGTAAGCCTTTTGACACCTGCAAAGTGTTTTTCTATATCGTTCAATTTTTTTCCTTCGGTCTCTGGTAAGATGAAATAAAAGACGAAACATCCTGTTAGGCTGAAACAATTTTAATAGACAAATATCGAAAATAAAACCTTGTTTATAGAATAACTAATTTTATATTAGTGATAAGCTCATGTTTTAAACAATTAAAGCCAATTCACGCCCATCTTCAAATAAAGTGATTCATTTAACATATATTTGAACATATTCATATAACAACCGCCACCGAAGTTAAGTCTTGACTATAATAAAAATAGTAAATTGATTGATAAAACTAACGGTTTAACCGATGAATCAGACGAAAAAAGTCGTTTGAGAAATAGTGCCAAAATCTAATTATTTAAATTTATACCTGATTATTCCATAGAGTCCATATGTGCCCCAAATGGACAAAGAATCAACCATACCGATGTACAATTTATTTGTCAAGAAGCCGAAGATGTAACCAACAGCACTGGCCAACCCGGCTCCTCCCGACCGAGTTTGGGCACTGAAAACCTAAAAAAAATATATTAATAAATTAAAACTAATATTATACATACTGTACCTATATTTGATTGTTTGATTACCTACTAAAAAAATATTATAAAACGTTTTAACAAATAATATAATCGAAAATTATTGTTTCTATTTATTTTTCAAATTATTTAGATATTTGATGTCAAAAGATATCCAATACTTCAAAATTCAATTTCCAATATACTATAAATTGAAGAATATGATTTTTTAAGTCGCGTCAATTAACTCTTTGTGTGATTCTAATCCGCTGCCATAATTATGAATATGGCGTAAGTCAAAATGGGAGTACACTCAGTGCTGTCTCTGACTTTTATGTAGCTTACCTCTCCAATAAGTATCCAAGGCAACAGCCGAATTCCCGTATGTGTAATCAAAGCCAATAACATTAAAAGTGTTGTTGGAATCCACGAATTTGGGTTATTCTGAAAATAAAACATCACAATAAGACTTTGTTGACAAACATCACCTGATGATAAGTCACACCACCGCCCATGAACACTCACATTGCCAGAAGGCCTGCAAGCGCGTTGCCGTTTGTTTGCTTTTAAGAATGGTACTTATCTGGAAGGACCCTAACGAATTGGTTCGGCGGTTAAAGACTCAGATGAAACTCAGCTGCAGGTATTAAATCAGAACAACTTCTCTGAACTCTCTCCGTAGTAATTGCGGTAAAAGATGCAGAGAGACCCCACATCTCTACGCTATTACACGTGTGTGTGAGTTGGTTAACGCACAACGTATAAATAGAGCTCCAAAGTTCAATATTTAATTTGATACGACTTCAAGGCCGATCGCTTATTTGTCTATTAGGAAATAATATACACACAGAAATCTAAGGCTAATACAGTAGTTCCAATGTGTTTGTAATAATACTCTATTGTTAATAATATTATACGTTACCATGGTTACTACGGTTCCTAGTGTAGAATTGACCGCGCTCGGTAATATATTCTAAAACAAGAACACTTTTTATTATTACACACATAATTTTTAATGGGCCCAAACAAATTGGTCAATGTGATGGACTCAGTACAAATTCAAAATTGTACCTTGAAAAGGTTTAAATTAAAAATATTATTAGTAAGAACTAATAGAGAAGATAAGTTTTATTTGATATATTTTTAAAAATTCCGAAAAGACTTATGGAAAATAATTGATTTCTTAACATGAAATAAAATTGAAAGTTTTGAATGAAGCAATTAATTTGTTTAAATTAATTGTATTTTTTTATAAAATTACCAACGTTTTGTATATAGCCATCATATCCAGCAACTAGCAGACAGCAGACACTGGCTCCAGCTGTTGAGAAGATTGTGAGTGGTCTTTTCCCTGTATAATGGACCATCAGCACACAACCTCCAGATCCAACAATTTGAAGTACTCCAAGAATTAAAGTGGCATAGTACTTGTCTATAGGAGCTTCCAGCATTTGGAAAATTGATACTGCATACGTCTGGAATAACATTCAGATGAAAGCCTGGATTATACTAGAAATTAATAAAAATTATAATCAAATTACTATAATTACAAAATATTTTCTTTTGGTATGGATAATGTATATATTTTATTTATTAAGAAAATTTACAGCTTATATACATAATAATATAAATATAAACAACTTTTTAGGCCAAAAAAATCTTCACATACTCGTATAAAAAAGTACTTAATAATTCGATGGATTGGTACTAATAAAATCATTTTAATCCAGGCTAACTAGTAACACACAAAGAGCTTATGATAAGAAATTTATTTCACTAAGTAATTTAGAAGTCAGCTTTCCTTGCCGACACCACACAGGTCAATATCAACAGTTAAATTGTTAAACTTTTCCCCTCACTACAAAGTACTTTGTACGCACAGCGGACCAATTAGGAGTCTAATTGGTCCGCTGTGTGGTGTTAACTTTTAAATATAGAAATCATAAACAATACAAATGTAAAGAAAAACAGGCCAATTAAAGATGTAAGCATTAGTCTATATTAAAGCAGTTGTGACTTAAGCAAACAATCAACGCTGAAGTAGCATATTCAAAGTACTAAAGGAATATTTATTTCTAAGTATGCAATCACTTGCTTGTATAGTTGAGACAAAACAGAGAGGGAACCAGAATTTAGCCCCTACTTACGCCTTTAGTACACCTACGCAATCGCATGCGGCAGCGAAACGACGAAAAAACTGTAAGTTGTATGGCAACGTTTCGCATGTGTTTTGTCTCGCTCTAATATATAGCTAGATGAAATAGTTGCGTCCTTGTCGGTATTGTTTCGCAATTAACTGCGAAATGGCTGTTACACAGACGCAGACGTTTCGCTACTGGAGTTTCGCATCGCAAGGCGTCACCACGAGTTCTGTCAGTGAGGACAGAATTTCGCACAATGGAAGCCGAAAATATTGAATTATTATTGAATTTGATTCGAAATTATCCCGAATTATATTTAGTTGGGCATGTTGATCACAAAATCCTCTTCAGAATCTGAAAGCGACGACTGGGACGACTCAGATGACATTCTGAAACGACGTCTGCACCTACAGCACACGAAAGCTACAATGACATATCCTTGCGAAAAACCTGCAGTGTACTAACGTTCCGCAGATATTTCGCTACCGCAATTATTTCGCAAAGATTCGCAGCCGCATACGAACGCGTAGGTGTACTAAAGGCGTTAACTATAAAATAGAAATTTATTCATCTATTTTACAATACACCACTAAGTTATTGTACCATATTCCCATTTTTATCAAGAAAAAAATCACTAAGTTCACTGTTCTACCTATAGCAATCTTTTTCTTTAGCTTTTCATGGCAGTTAAGACAATTTGTTAGAAATAAATGAAAACATACTTCAGTAAAAGAATGCAATAAGACTGATTAATAAGAACTCAGCAGCTAATATTTCTTTAATAGATCCACCTAAGGTCTTAAGTCACATTGCCAACAATAATATGCATAATTTTTTTTCTTACCTGTAAAGTTGTCATACCACTAAAGTGACCAACGAAAAAGGCATAACTAACAAGAAAGAAAGGAATTAAGAAACTCCTCTCAGTATAGTGCGATAATCTCTCATACACTGTCTCCACTTTACCTTCTGCTTCTGAAATAAAAGAGTTCCCAATTATAACATTACAATATTTTTAGTCCTATTATTTTTATGGTAACATTAAATACCTTGTTTTTTATTATAAAGTGCTTCTATATCACGCAATTCAGCATCCACTCTGTGTGGGGTTGTCCATCCCCGAAGCCATTGTAAACTCTGAAATTATTATTATAATATTTTGAGATATACAATATCAATATAATGAGAGAAGATGATTTTCTAATATTATTTTTATTTACAAATGCTTGTATCTTCATAGAACATTTAAATGTTATTTTAAGTTACAATTATTATATTTATATGTTTTTTAATATTATCTTAATTTTGATTAAATCATAATAATATTAGTTATATATATATAATTCAAACCTTTCTAGCATCATTATATCTTTCTCGTGAGACTAGCCAGTGTGGAGATTCTGGGACAAAGCAAAGGGCTATCACAGCAAGGACCTGAAAGTTTGCCATTAATACCTATTTATTTACAAAAAATTCATCTTATAACAGGTGTAGCCTAATTCTACAATTTTTTTTGTAGAATAGTGTTTTTTTGTTCAAAAACCCTAATATGTTAAACATACAATATGTATAAATAAATGTAATAATTTTCCACTTAAATATTAGAAACAAAATCTAATAAGATTATATAACATATTAGAGACACTATTAGTTTTCAAAGTATCTATAGATTGACTTGACTTGTTGACAATGATGAATGACAAGAATAATAAATACATTGGTTGTAGCCATATATGCATGCATACTTAAGGTTATTCTTCAGGAGGGGCCTGGCCCCGAGTTCTGAAAGGTTCAAAAACCTACCCACCACTAGACCTACTTAATTTCATTATAAAGTAAGCTGTTTCTCCATTTTGTACTCTGTTAACAATAACTTAATAACACAACAACTTCCCTATGAGACTATAACTTAATTTTTAGAATGTAAAGTAGTAACTAAATAAGCCACATAGGACATGGTTATCATAGCACTAGATTTAGTCATTAAATTTCAGTATTCTTACCGTAAATATTATATTTAGTAATGCCACATGCCGCCAATAGAGAAATAAACCAAAGAGAAACTGTGTAAAGACACCTATGATGATGCACATAGAACTCGTAGCTGTAAGAGCTCCACGCAGGTGTGGCTGAGTAATCTCTGCTACATATGTTAGCACCTGGAATTAGAACATTACATCTAAATTCACATAAGGAAGGTTTTTTTAAATAAAATATAAACATTTTACCAACCTATAAATAAACAATCAGTTCTTTATGTAAAATAGTTATTTTAAACGGTCAGCTACAAACTAGTTTAATCCATTAAAAATAAAAAAAGGTATTCGAATTTTTTGGACAGAAATGACTCAATCATTCTACCCAAAAAATTTAGTAGATATACAAGAATCAAATTAGGTATATATTAACCATTATTAAGTAATACATACCAGCTTCGTATCCAAAAGATAACATTTTAGTCAATTTTACTTGAGTTTGTTGTGGTAAATGGGAAAGGCAAAAAAATAATTTTAGTGAGATTAAATATTAGTCACTATTATTGGACTTTTCAGGAAACTGACTAGTGGTTTTGTTCTGTAGTTTTTTTATTTGAAGATTTTATGGCCTGGTTACTGGTATCAAAATTCGAAACCATCAACCATCAAGCAAATATTATTTTCTTTAGATAATTTTCAATTCAAACAAAGACAATAAGTCGAACTACCGTTCACATATATTTATCGCTGCTACTTATACCTAAGAAACCGTAATGGTGGACTGTGGAGACAGATAGTACTATCACAAAGATTTTTTTATATTTATCTAACAAATAGCATATACCTACGTGTAATATTTAGGATATTCTCTATTTATTTTATTATATTCAGATAAAAATATATTTTGTGGTAAGCGCCATCTATCATAGATAATGAGCATCAGGACAGTAGAAAAGGTTTTAGTTAGAAAAGGTAGAAAATTTTGTCATTCACAAATGCACAAGCGCTTAATCCACAGAGGCCGCTGCAATCAAATTTATCCAAAGTTCTGCACGTTGGAATAATTGTGATCCTCTTCTGAGGTTTTTAAGTCGGTATTTTTTATAAATTTACTTTATTTTATTTTATTTTAAATATTTACGAATCTTAGTGGTATATAACCCAGACATCTTGGATTTTATATAGCATAAGTTCAAAAGGCAAAAAAAAGTCGTCAATAGTAAGGTCGTATTAATTTTTACAATATTTCGTTAAAAAAAAATTCTACCTTATATTTCTTTCATAATAAACAAATATATTTTTAATGAACTCTATGATTTCGCGTTTACCACTAAAATGTATAGAATAGCTTAAAGTTATTCGGCTCGTCTTATTTTTCATAGAAATATCGAGGTTATTCCTTCAATGTTGAGAACGTAAAGGTCAGATGTACATCGCACGGAAACGTCTTTCTGTAAATTGAAGGGCCTTTATAATCTTGAATACCTTTATAGGAATACGGAACTTGTCATTTAAGTAATACTTATCCATTTATATGGCAATTGGCACATAAACAAGAACCTACTATTGAAGTTGTGTCTAGAACACGCAGTTAATGCTCTAGACTCTAGAGCATTGTTTCCCAACGTGGAGCCCACGCCCCACAACGGGGCAATTTTCATTTAAACTATTAATACTAAATTTAAATATTAAACTTCTGTATGTTACTTAGGGGGCATTAGAAATTTAGAAATGCTAAGGTGGGGCATGGCACAAAAGAGGTTGGGAAAAACTGCTCTAGAGACTAGTGAATGTATTGCTTGGAAAGTGACCTGTACCTACGAAACATTAAAAGTCAAATATGTCATGTAGATCCGTCTCAATGTATTACTAGGAATCCCGGAAATAAATTTTCCAGTAAAAATAATAAAGTTTTTGAAGTTATACTTCTTTAGGCGCGTTATGAAAATTTGATGAGAGTGAAATTTTACGATGCGCGCGCACCTATGACACAAAATTCGGAGTGTGATTATAGCGTGCGCAATCTACAAAAGAAATAGAATATAAGCTAACTTCACGCATATTCTATTTCTTAGCTTAGCAGCTCAAGAATTTTGAATATCCATGACAATTGACATCTGACAATGACATTTACCTTTTAAACAAATATAGGAGTTTGAATTATTGTTTAAAATAAAAGATTCTAAAAGTACCTAGTTATTTTCATTATACAAGTGCGAATTTTATATGTGCGTCTGAATTATAATCAGAAATTGAATATCTAAATCAATACTAATTAATATGATAAAATATTTGTGAAAAAACTGTGCCAACCTTCCTGAGTGCTTCAATACAATTGAGGTTAACTATCCGTATGTATTATCGAGTATTATTGTTGATTAAAACTGAAACATGAACTTAATTAACTTTTGTTTATTGCGTTTGTTACAGCAACTTTTTAGAAATATTCTACGACCCTATATATCAATAATTGAGAACAAAGATTTAAGCACGAATACTAATAAGGAGAAAATGAAGGCTTGGAGCGATATTACAGAGAAGTAAACATTTTAATAAGTACCTGCATCTCAAAAAAATGATTACATTATTTAATCAAAACATGTAATTTTTCAGATTTAATCTAGCAAATATAAGGACAAGAGACAAAAAACAATTTCAGTGGAAGTGCACTAAATTGAATAAAAAAAAAGAGTTGTCATCTTATCGCCGTGAAACATCAAAAACAAGAGGTGGAACAAAGCCACCATCACCTTCTCCAGACACAATGGATATGGCAGAGATGATACCGTAACGGTTTGAAGTAGATTTCAATGAATTTGATTGTGATGGTGTCGAGGTAGGAATGTTAATTATAAATATGATGGTGATGTTCAAGGCTCAACCTCTCAAGCATAGGCACATACTTTATTCCCCTACAGGGTAGTTAGAGATATTGTAATACCTCAAAACATCCATGTTGCTCTTGTAGTACCGAAACTCTGTCCAGCCAGAAGTGAGCCCATTCCCACTTATAATGGACAGTGGGTATAATACACCTTAATACCTGAGTGCGAACCACTCACCATGACACTTAAATTAATAGATGTTATTTATATATTTCAGGATATTACAAATAAAATCATTTTGGAAACAATTGCTATCCCAAAAGCAAATAAAGCCAACAATGACAAGGTAATAAATCAGTTTTGACATAACTTGAATACTAAAAAAAGCCAAACAAAGGTGTGCACAACAGTGACAACATAACTTAACAATTTCATTATTTTGTAGGATTAAAGAAAGGTTAAAGAAAATCATGTCGAACTGATCAACAAGAATCCCCAAACAACTCAAAAGAAACCTACAAGGAAGACACCGGTATTATATTTAAATTATCTCTATCTCTAAATAGAATAAAAGAAAGTTGCTATCCAGGTCTGTAGCATGTGCTACAAATTATATTATTAACACATTTATATAATTATATTAATATAAATGTGTTAAAAATTTTATAATATGAATTATAAAATTTTTTTTATTTTGTAAGAGAATAATTATAAATATTTATTTATTAAATTTTTCAAATGTAAACTGAACTTTATTGACTATAATGACTCCTTTTCCAGTCTTTGATTATTTAATTGTAATTAATTATTTGCATGCAATCAAAATCTATTTCTAATAATGCCAAAGAAGTATAACTTCTTACGCGCGTACATAAGTACACGCACCCTTTTTTTTATAACTTTCAGCCCTTAACAGGCCCTTAAAAATAGGCCACCACGTAATTTTTTTTCCATTTTTATTAAAATGGAATGATAGGCAGTTTGATCCGTAATCTTCTACATAATTACGTTAATTATTATAGGTAGAAGATCTACATTCTTTTTTGAGTTATACAAACAAAAATCTTTCCAAATCTTTATGATTGACAGACAATGAGACTTGCAGTTTTCGTGTAGTTTGCATGATGTCGTTACAGACCTTTGTGTATTTTGTGATAAATTGGATAATGAGCGCGGTATCACTCTCGAGGCATATCTTCGCACTACCTCGATGTATGGAATAAATGTTTTCTTTGACGCGATACCACGGCCAAGCGCTCTAAGATATTTTCTGCCATTTATTACTAAAACCGCTAATGGTTCAAAGAACTCAGCTATCTCTTTTCGACACAGCGTAAACTTAATATATATAAAAGAAAGAGAAACTAAATCTTATTGCACCTGTAAGCCATTATGATGGAATCAAATATAACATTAAACTTTCTTAAGCAAAGCAATGATTACAAATTCTTAAACAAGTTATGTAAATTCGATTTATAAAAGTCGATTTTATTCTGAGTAGCTTCAATTATTTTGCTCTTCTTACCGGTGCCTCAAGAAGTCCTCCCGCCAGACCAGTTAGAACGAGAGCCATGTAAAGATGCGAAGTGTTCTTCGAGAAATAGAAGGTCAGCCAAGCTATGAAGAATGGGACGTTCACCATCTGCATAGCCCGTCGTCTTCCAAGGGGCGCTGTTACTACTCCCGAGAGAGCGCACCCCAATGGCACTACTATTAGGTTTATTGAACCTGAAATTAATAGAACAGCTTAAAACGTTGAACAAAATAAAGCTTTATTTAAAGGGATTTAGGTGCTATTTTAAACGGTAGCATTAACATATCCCGTAACATGCAAATGAACGATGGAAAGTTTATTATTGTGTGAATTGAAGCGTTTTGATAATATACGCGATAGTTTTCGTTTGTTCCATAGAATATTATTTGAGATGAAAAGGATATTCGGTAACCATAGGCCGGATCAAATTTAAATCCCGCCGAATACCGGAATGTACCTGCCGGTATTTTTTTTACGTAATATACCCGATGTTAAGTGATACCGCCGCCGATTAGAAGTGAAGAAGGCTCGCAAGTGCGTTGCCGGCCTTTAATTTCAAAAACATATTAAAAGCACTACATTTAACAAAGAGCATCATACATTTTTAATAACGGAACAAAAAAATTGATACTGAAACTACACGGGCAAATAATGACGAATAAATTACCAAAATAACAATTTCACTGCAACAGACGGGTCTTGTCTTCGTAACAAATATAATATATATATGTTATATTTTACACATGGCCATTTCCATGATATTCTAAAAGATACTTACCATGATAACATGCATTGAACTTTTTTTTAAACCTATAATTTAATCCAAAAATTATCGCCAAATAAAATCCGTATAATCTGATGACTGTACATTAAAAAAGTATTTCACTATTTCTTATTAAACTATTATAGAAATTAATTGAAATAAACACATACTTATCCAAGAAACTTCGGAGCTATGCAGCCGCAGTACCTCCCCCTCAACAGGGTTCTGCACGGCTGGAATAAGGATGGTGGGGAAACCCAGAGTCATTCCATAACCTAGACAAAAAAATTTAAATACATATATTTAATATGTATATATATATCTGTAAATATATTTATTTTAAATACGAATACATCCAGAATGAAATCCTGTATGCTTCTAACAAAACGTAGAAACAGACATATTTCTGAGTCTGTTTTATTGCTTTTTCAATTTATTACAGTGAATTTTCTCGCGATTGAATAGTCATTGTCAAGTAAGAGGGAGTGAAGCCCCGCCCCTAGTCATTATAACAAAACCTAGGGTTAGCTGTGACCTAGGTATTGTAGGCATTGTATTACCCGAGTGGGACACACCCTTTAGACACTGAACGGTAGGGGGAACGCTCCTATATACTATGTGGACTTGTGCGTTTAAGCAAATTTTCGATTCTTTAAAGTAGATAAACTAATTATAGACGGAATACTGTTGTATTAAAGTGCAAAAAATATTTATATTACAGGTTGCACTAAGTATGAGCACGTACGAGTATGTTATCCTAATTGATTTGACTCTAGAAAAACGTATTATTAGTCTTAAAATGAATTCATTCCCAAGTTAGCATTTAACTTAGAAAGGGATTTTGTTTATCTAAGTCCCTAATTTTACCGTCTTCACTTATACATTTTCTCCGCAAACCTCTAAACCCTTGTTTTGGACTGACCATTCGACAAGTTTCGTCAAGTTTTATAGTTCCCGGGACGTATTTTTCCGGCACCGCTGTATTTTCAAGCCAAGGGTCATCTCCCTCTAATCGTACCGTAAAATCTACTAAGAATTGTCCGTACTCCATCTTATTCCATATTATTTCATTGATGGATTAAAGTTTTAACTTGCGTAAAAAGTATAATGTGACGTTACTGCGTTCTTTAAGTTTCTGACCAAATTTATATTTATTTTGAACAGCCAAGAGCAAGCGTAATTAAATAATTAAATAACCCTAGTGAAATACTATATCTCTTTATGAAACAGTTACATTGTAATACAAATCAGAAATGACGCGATAGCTTCTTAAGCATCTTAAATTGATCCCAGAAAAATAGAGCTTGGACCCTAGACCAAAATACGACAGGCGCGCTGCATTGCAATATAGAAAATAATGAGCTCGATCGTTCATGTTTTATTCAAATGCTTAATGTACTTTCAGAAAATTCTTGACTAAAGTAATTTATAATTGTTTTTATAATCTTCATACATTGACAGTTTCGTCCGTTTCCAGTCACTTTGAATGTATACGTGCCAAAAGATTTAGCTTAAATATGTAGTAAGTAGATATTAAATTAATTATTGTACGTGTATTCAACATATGAGTAATAATAGGCCATAAGGATACATAAAAATTTATTCATTCTCATTGTTTGTATTTAAAATGTGAGCGTGCTTAATTGCTTTGAACAGTTTAATTTGCAGAAATAATTATTGTTTTAACTTATGTTCCACGACATTATACTATTCGCTGATGTAAAAATTCCTTTATTTTTTTATATGAACTAATGTGTAGCTCCAAAACCACACCCTGGTTTATATTCCACTGAAGTCGTTTCATAACGTGCTATTAGTACAACTAAAAACGATTGAACTTGAACTGTGTGAACATCCGAAAGGAGGAGGCCCTTTGAAATTTGATGAGGGACAGCGACAATGACAGCGACAATGACAGTAACAATGACAGTAACAATGACAGTGACAGCGACAATGAAAATGACAGCGACCACTAAAAGTGACAGTTCGTCTTTCACTGTGTTAGCAAACCATCCTGAGCTTCTTTGGACACACCCCACGCTTATGTCCCGCTAACCTGGAGAAGCTTTTGGTGACCGGTACAGTGGAAGGCACCAGACCCCAAGGCCGATCCCCTACTCGCTGAACCGAATTAAGCATTCCCGTGTTGCTTAAATTTTATCTCTCAGATCGTTTATATTATATTTTCAATTAATAATTATGAAATATTCCTGAATTTACTTAAAATTCTTTAAAAAAATATAGTTTCATATGTTCCAAATTGAATGTGTCCTATAAAGACATTTGACAAATATCGAAACGTAAACGTAAACAAATTATTACATAATAATCAGTTCGGTTTTACCAAGGGTCGCTCGACAGCCGATGCCGGTGTTGAGTTATATAGATATATAGTTAAGGCTTGGGAGGAGTCGCATGACGCTTTAGGTGTTTTCTGCGACTTATCCAAAGCATTTGATTGTGTCCAACACGAGACCTTAATCGGGAAACTCCGCCACTATGGCATCAAGAATACCGCACTGAATCTTCTGACTTCCTATTTACAAGGAAGAACTCAGAAGGTTGAAGTGAATGGTAAGAGGTCCTCTGGGTCGGCAGTAGATATGGGGGTACCACAGGGCTCAATTCTTGGCCCTTTCCTCTTTCTTGTTTATATAAATGATCTACCTTTCATGGTAGAGAGAAAACATCAGATAGTTTTGTTTGCTGATGACACGTCCTTGATTTTTAAAATCAAACGACAAATAACAAATTTTGACGATGTGAACAATACTCTGTCTTCGATTGTCCATTGGTTTAGTATGAATAACCTTCTACTTAATGCAAAAAAGACAAAATGCATTAAATTTTGTGCAAAAAATGCAAGGGTTATGGATACTAGACCAATTATAAACGGTGAGGAATTGAATCTGGATGATACAACTGTATTTCTCGGAATCACCATGGATTCAAAACTTCAGTGGTCCCCTCATATTAACGGATTGGCGAAGAGACTTAGTTCTGCAGCCTACGCGGTTAAAAAAATTCGCTCACTAACTGATGTCGATACAGCTAGACTTGTTTATTTTAGTTACTTTCATAGCTTAATGACTTATGGCTTATTATTATGGGGTCATGCTGCTGATGTCGAAACTATTTTCATCCTGCAGAAGAGGGCTATTCGTGCAATCTATAATTTAAAATGTAGGGAATCTCTTAGAGATAAATTCAAGGAAATTAATATACTTACCTTTCCCTCGCAATATATTTATGAAAATATTATGTATGTATACAAAAATAGTGATAAGTTTACTAGAATAGAACATACGCACAATGTTAATACACGGAACAAACGCAGGCTGCAATTTCCCCGTACTAGACTATCTAAAGTTAGTAATTCTTTTTTTGGGGAAAGGGATACTCTTCTTTAATAAAATCCCAGAGGCTCTTTTATCACTGCCTTTCAATAAATTTAAGAAATGTATTAAAGAAAAGCTGTGTAAAAAGGCTTACTATAAAGTCAACGATTATCTAGTTGATAAAAGGGCCTGGAACTAGTGCTAGACAGGCTACTTCTAATCAATTTGCGATATTTGTTTTAAATAAGTGTTGTTTGATGATTTGCTGTTTTAAAAGAGTACCGAGAGTTTTTTTACGCCGGCTTTTTCTCTCGGCCTACACCCTCTGTCTTCTTTGCCGATGAGTAGGGATGCCTTCAAATTTAATGACGTGGAATAAGTGATACATGTATCTTATGTTCCATAATAAACATATTTTATTTATTTTTATTTTATTTTATTTTAAACATTTTTTTATAGGCGAGGAGGCTAATAGACAAGCGGTCAACTAGTCAACCGTTTACGTTATACATAGAAGAAGTGTGTATGTTTTTACTAAAACCGAAAGAGTAAACACGATAGGTAATCTTTTACGCTTTAAATCCGCATTTGTATATACTATATAAGTCTATAGAGAACTAAGGAGAATGGAAGTGAACGCGATTCCTAGGTTCAAGGATTTGTGGGCCAATATGTTAACGTTGTTTTGACTGAAACCATTTAATAAATGTATATCAGCCGCATGTATTACAAAAAGTAATCAAATAATGAACCCTACTAAAAGAACTCATGGAAGCCAAAACCTGCGATTTGGTGTTTGTATTCTGAAGACAGCGCCAGCTGAGTGGGAGTGATTTAGATTTTTGATCTCAAACTCTTCATAAGTATTACCCTCTAATTAACCATCTATATTTTCTACGTGTGTATATAACCTAAACATAACAATAAAATATACAGTATTTAACCTACATAGAAATAATAAAAAAAATAAAAAGTTTATTCCCTGTGGCAGTGTACCTATAACGGTGTCAGCATTTGCTCCTTGTATAGCGATACTTATTCGTTAAGCGAGGATTTACCAGCTCTGGGGTACCGGTACAAACTATCAGGCGCCAACTAACGCCATTATAATAACGCGAAATATGCTCTTTCCGCATAAAGCCTTACCTAGTAGTAGCAAGTTCTTGACACTGACAGCAAGTAACTGCGGAAGTGCAGTCCGGAAGTCCTTACTATATTCGTAATGGTTCTCCATAATCTGGTCCTTTGCCACCATCTGTAACAGTCAGTAATAATTGAGGCCTCCAAATATTTAGTGTTTTTTAAGAAAAACAAATGATCTAATAACTTATCAACGCCGCCACAAAACCGAATAAAAAAGCTGCCAAAACGATAAAGTAATTAATTATGTAAATAAATAACTATGTCAGCCGATATAACATGCAAAAGAGATTGTAGCGAGCTTATCGTACCTATATGGATCACATATACGATAATTTATCGTATATGGATCACATATACGATAATTTTACGGCCCTGGTACGATAACTGCCTGGCTTCAGGTTGTGAACACTGGTTTGAAGTAAAATAATACACGTGATATCTTACTGTACACCCCCCCTCCACCTTGTGATATTTCGTGATTTTTGCCAAAGTCTGTTTTATTTTAGAAAGCAACTTACTAAGAGAGACAGCTAAATTACTTATAATTATCATGTAGTGTATACAAAGGTTTCGACATAAGTAAATGGGACGCACGTCTTTGAGTGGCAAATGAAGGCCAAAGTGGTAAAACTACTACTAGTAGTAAAACTACTAAACTAACTAAAGGTGTATTATATTAGAATATGATCAAGAAATCTGTATTCATTGTCGAGACTTACATGAGGGCAAACGCCTCTTATGTTAAATGATACCCATGAAAACTCACAATGCGTCTTCCATAAGTTATAATGTTCCGCATGTTTGTTAATCCCGCATTAAGTGTGAGCGGCGATATCACTTAACTTCAGGTGAGACTCCTGTCCGTTTGCCCCCCTTTTGCTTCTATAAAAAATACTAAGAACCTTAACAACTTTCGAAGCTTGTAAAATGCACTTTAGTACAAAGGAACAAAACTTATTTTGATGTTGGACGTTGCGTTTGTTTGCGAAACAGGACTTGCAGGAAAATGCTGACTGAGATGGCTTCCTAAACCCAGCTCTAGCCCAGAAATTAAATAAAACTATTGTCACTCATCATTGCAATTAAGTTCGTAAACTGAATTGGTACTTATTAAGTTCCAAGGCCCTATTTAGTTACCTTGTACCTATTTAAAGGCCTTTCAAAATAATTTTATTTTTCAATATAATCATATTTTTGAGAAGATATGTTTGTTTGTTTGGTTAGGTTTTTTTTATATTTTTCTTTATTTCTTGTTAATATGCGACTTCTAGTCAGACTAGAAATTTAAGTATAATATTTAGTAAAATAAGTTAGAAAGTTGTTCAAGGATCTCATGGAAACACTTGATCAAAAATATATCTAAATATAAAATTTTCGTGTCACAATGTTCGTTCCCATACTTTTCTGAAATGACTCGACCGATTCCTATGAATTTTTTAATACATATTCAGTACGTATTTCATACCCCCTAAATAATATGGGTTCCCACACAAAATTAATATTTTATTTTTAGACACATTTTTTGTTTATATTTTTTTATGATACAACACATAAAAATACATACAACCCTTTATATTTATCTACCCTCTACGATCAACCCTTATTTTATATTTGTTAGTTGAGAAATATGAGGTTTGTATAAAGAAAAATCACAGAAAAACCTGAAAAGTTTTCATTCCGGAAAACCGAACAGTCTCTGGGATAGCATAGCAAAATGTACTAAAAAGATAGGCTAGGCATTAAGGAGAAACGAAGTTCGCGGGGGCAGCTAGTATTTTTATATAATTAATATTCTAATAACAATATTCCTATAATTTAAGGATATAGGCTTTGTTTAATTACTATATTTTTATAGGCCTATAGTTGAGGTTCCAGAATTACCTCTTTTTGAGTGATTTTTCATAAAAGATTAAAATATTTTATCTGAATTACTTAAAATATATACCTAAGTAAACCAAAGAATAATGCCTTGCTTTTATTTATCATGCTTTTCAAATAATTTATCGAAATGTGAGAGTTCCACATTAGGTAGGCCTTATTTGTATCACTTACCTTATTGCACTTTAACACACGCGACCAAGCAGATCTTGAGCTAGAGTCGGTTGATGCAAAATCACACTTATTACGCAACGAATACACTATCTGTATTATGTTGTGTAAGATTTCGATATTCGAGATATGCCGCTTTCAAACAACGAAACACTCGGCCAAGTCCATTACGTTTTTGACATACATCTCGCCCTAAAGCTACGGTTTCCTAGAAAAGCGGTGCCGTTAACTAACGGCCGTAATGTAACGTTGGGTGACGTCACCCATACGTTGTCTATAAATAACATCGGAGTAGGTTTTCTAGAGAACGTTGAGTGTAACCAACTTCAAATAGCGGTGCTGTCATTTGCATGACCGCCGTCATAGCGGTGATAAACAGTAGTTCAACGTTTTTCGCGTGTAGCGGTGCGCATATTTAATTAATACAATGACTTGGACGAGCGAAATTGATGAACAATTAATTGATTTTGTTAAAAATCATGAAGCTTTTTAGTTTGTACAATATTGTCCAGACAATTGTGTCTTGAGGCCACGACCATCTAGAATCATGTTATATTCATACTGCTTATATATTTTTCTCATTACGTCATATTACGTGGAGGCACCAGGTCTTTTACTCCTTTATCGACCGAAGGATATAAGTGATGCTTGCGTCTTCTCAGAACACCTCAGATTTGATATATCCTTTGGGATGGGGATGTCCGACACAATTACTTTGGTAAGATATTATAGTACAAAATGAAGCGTTCAGCGTAAAGTTATTTTGAGTTTAAGTTTGATATAAATATTATTTCGATTTATTTCAAAGAGAAATTATTTGGATTTCATAGAAACGATAGTTCTACGTATTGCCGTTAACATAAGTTGAGAAATTCCTTGCGTGTCGGCAAAGTATTATGTTTTGAATGCGCAAAATATTTCCGTTATGCAGTTAATATACAACTAATCGTATTTGATGTATTATAATTGTTCCTTATTGTAGGTGTTTAAACTTGTTTTTATTCATCTTGTTCGTTTTTTAATAAACATCGACGTACTATTTTGATACTCTGACGGCTATATCATGTCATTGTATCAGAGTACCTATAGTAATTTATGGAACACATAATGCACTATTGCGGAGACAGTATCTGTATTGTGGAAGCACAGCATCGCAAACAAATACACACATACAAAACATAGGAATATTTTGATTTGAAGGACACTTTCTTCCGCCAATCGATTCTTGATTCTCTTCTAGCATTGTCACACATATTTCAAAGGCCATGTCTTCTCAGGTACTCCGAACCCTAACTGAAATAGACTACGCATGCACCGTGGAGGTAGTGGTGGAGCCGGCAGTACAGCTCTTGGTTGTGGTCCGGTATCCGAACCTCGTCAGTACAAACTGCGAGATGAATCGAGATGCTTTCATACTGATGAAGAAACAGCGGTGTATCAGGTTCTGTGACGTCATGTACGATGAAAGCCTTCCAACCCATTACTTCACGTTTCATGTCAAGGAGCGTCTGCGCTTCAAGTTTGTCAGCAATAGCAGTATCAACGCAGATCTTAATGTAAGACAGCACTACTTAGAGTCCTCAATTAATAACAGTAAATAATAAGAATGTTGACTTAGGGGTGTCAAGTAGGTTTCTGTACCTAAATTAACTGAGTTTCGACTTTCTTGGAAACAAATTAACATATTTGATAAATACCAGATTAACAAGTTACAGAATGATACGGAACTTCTAGCTAATTAGGTCAATGGTATACTTGTCGAAATTTTGATGGCTTAGGTAACTTCCTAACCGTTTAATACTGTAATGTTTAAATATATTTTTATGGCAAGCTAAAAACCGTTAAGATTTTTCATTAATCAAACTACATATGCACAAATATTTGCTGAGTTGCGAGAGTTGGTTGGCAAAATGCCACGGGCCCCCGACCCATGCCCAAGAGTTATTATGTTCTATGGATTTCTATGGAGAGTTATGGAAAAATAGAGTTTGTAATTATGTTTAAAAGAGCGGACAGATATCGGTCCAATAGTAAAGAGAGTGGAGTGTTCCTCGTGGAACTCACTCTATTCTCTTTCTCTGTGAGAATAATCCACAAAAATATTCAGGCCCACTTCTACCAAGTAACGGTGACCTCAGCACGGAACAAGCCACAGAGGGGGTGCACGTTGAAGAATGAAACGAGTTGCTCCGTCGGAGAAGACCACTTCTGTTTCACCAGCGGTGTAGTCTGCGACGGCATCAAGAACTGTGGTGTTGATGACTGGTAATTTGATATGGTTTTATTTTGTGGGGCCTGTTGCAGCCTTCTGTGATTGTGCGTCGTCAGTTGGTGGGTTTAAGGACTTAAAGTCCGGGCTAAGCGCTAAGTATGGCGTATTTCGTATGTCGAAAATGTATTGGTTTTTTACGCATAGGAGTTTAGTTCACGCTAAGTTTCTTTAATACGGTTTTTATCTTTACTTTGCATGCCAAAAAATAACATAGAAAAATCCATTTGTGGACAGATGAGAGTCGCGCGTTTTAGCCACTAGACCAATACTAAATATAAAATCGCTGTTACGCTGGTTTTTAAACTATTTGTTTGTAGTTCAACACGATTAAACACTTGAATGATTAATTCATTATGCCATATTTAATAAAAACGATGCCGCGAAAACAAGTCCTAATTTATACCTACACGCGTTGTAATTTTATGCTTGCAATTTGTGCAACGGCCTGTTATGTGCTAAATATTATAGATGACGTATTATAATTATATTTAATATAGATTTAGTGCGCTTAGCACTAGATGTTTTTTTATTTAATTGTCAATGTTGTGTTTGAAGTAAGTTGCGTAAAATATGTTAAGTTATACAATAAGTTGTTAATAGAAATAAGTAGTGCTTATTTATCCTAGTTACAAATGCTATTTACTTAAGTAATTCATATAAATAAATTACTTAAGTAATACCTTCGACGACGACATAGTCGGGGAATTAGCTAGAAAATATATATAGAACAAAAAGGAAAAAAAGTAAGTCTTTTTTTCAATGTAATATTCCATAAAAATATTTTGATGATTTATTTATACAGAACAGGGGGCAAACGGGCAGGAGGCTCACCTGATGTTAAGTGATTCAGCCCATGGACACTCAATGCCTCTCAAAGGGAGAGGGCTCGCGAGTGCTTGCTGGCTTTTTAAGAATTGGTACGCTCTTTTCTTGAGGACCCGAAGTCGAATTGGTTACTGTTGTGTTAATTAAATATTTCACAAATCATATGTGACAAGCAATGTTATGTTGAAAGCAATTTTCTCTAATTACTGACCCCGTTAAGGAACATTGTCAATAAATTAATTTAATTATAATATAATATATATATATATATACATATAATCTTACGAGCCAGACCCGTTTAAAACACCTTAAAACAAGCTATGTAATTATTAAAGGCTTTATTAAAGATTCATATTAATTGAGTTTTCCTACGTAAAAATAATAATCTATATTTAGTATTTATCACCCACGCGGGCTCTGCGCACCAAAATAAACGTCTAAACCTCTTCCAACAGCCAGTGTATCCACCTCCCGTCACCTTCATTTAGATAGCTTTTAGATGTAAAAAACTTGATCGTTTACTACATATAATGGTATGCCAACAGCAACTATTATTCAATCATTGGATTGAACGAAGAACTCAGGGCCAGCACCATTATGTATTTACGCGGTCGACTGGACGTTTCGTAATGCCTCAGAGGAAAGGACGCGTGGAATGTTTTTATTGAATGATCAAATCATAATTTATGTAACTCTAAAAGACTAGAGAATGGGTTATTAAGTGCCCACAATGGGATATTTGAAAAATCATATATAATTCATCAATATAGATTAAAAAATCATATTTATATAACAATAAAAAAACAAGTTGGCACGTGCGCCATGACTACCACCGCCTTCAATTAATTATAATTGGTTATATCCAAGGTAAATGTAGAAGGAGATAATCATGGCTTCGTAACGTTAGGCGGTATTCCGACTGTTGAGTTGCATCTGGCACAGGACAAGACACGCTTCACGAGACTGACCGCCAACCTCCAGTAATGGAGAGGCACCAAAAGAAGAAGAAGAAAATCAAACGTTGATAATTTCAAGAAGCCGCTAAAATACTTCTCTAGGCAAGATGGTGACGCACCAGTTGCTATGACGTTCCATGCCTGCCTAAACAATTTTTTTTGAACGAAACGAAATTATACTAAACCGCATAGATGAAGACTGGTTCTCGATGGATGCAGATGGCCAGTGCAGGGCGTATTGGAGGAAGATAAGGAGGCCTACGTCCAGAAATTAACCAAAAAAAGAGACTGATTATTATGAGGTGATGACAAAACATGCTATGTCGTCGTCGATTCGACTGATCTGTGACCGTTTTGTGTCTGACATTGGAGGACATCGTCGGGCACAAAAAGCCTCCCTCTCCTCTGATGACATCTTATAAGTTGTATATATGATTTCACAGGTTCGACGAACGCAAATCTACGTGTTCTCTTCCCGTTGAGAGACTCAGCTATGCCCCAGTTATTGCGGTCCTTGCTGCCATGTCATGTGCACTGTTGGCACTTGGTCACATAATCCAACGGTGTTTGCCGCCACTCGCAGATTCCTTCTTCATATTCAACGCGAACGAAGATAACCGACTCTGCATAGACCCAGTTCTAATTCCACCAAATAACACTCCACCAGACATCCCGACTTTGAAGAGGATGTCTATTATTCCTGTAAGTCTTTTTTCGTAGCCAAAAATCAAAACAAAAGACTTCCTAAAAATTGCCTAATACGATGATACCCCGTATATTAATAAATTGTTTAATACCTTTTATTCTCTTGGTATAAGACCAATCAATAGAAATGAGAAATATTGTTATTTATTTTTCGTGCATTTTAGAATCGATTTTATTTTTTAAAGGAAGCAAAACACGATGCTTGTGAAGTTCTCGTGCAGTTTTAACATTATATATCTCCATGACAAGACGTAGGTAACGTTAAAATTAAGCCAAATATTACATTTTACAAGGTGTTCTCGTCATCATCAGAAGAAAACAGCGAGATTTTTGAAGATAAGAACTCCGGTATTGAGCTCCGATCTAGGGATCTTACAGAGGAATCCACATCCAAGGTGCTAATGTTATTTAGAGAAGTGGAGTGTGAAGGCACTTCTAAAACCCAGTCCAATGTCTCACATGAAAGCTAAAGCTGTTTTCTGTCCTCACTATAACTATATATATGTAATGGACACTTGCTATAAATAAGTGATCATTACGAGGGGTGTTTAATAAAGAGATAAGCAATACATTCTCCTTGGAAAGAAAGAAAATGGTGGAAGGCATAGCGCTGAAGCCTCTAGGCCAGTGTTGGCCTATTATCATTATTTATTATTCCGGAGGTCAGGTTCGATTCCCGGCCGTACATCAATGGACTTTCTTTCTATATGCGCATTTAAAATTCGCTCGAACGGTAAAGGAAAACATCGTGAAGAAACCGGCTTGCCTTAGACCCAAAAGGTCGACGGCGGTGTGTGTCAGGCACAGGCGGCTGATCACCTACTTTCCTATTAGATTGACAAATGATCATGAAACAGATACAGAAATTTGAGGCCTAGTTTTCAACTTTAGATTAACTTAAATGCGCTCACAGAAAGGTAGTACCTATGTGACAGTATCAAAAATATAGGCTGTATAAATAAATATAAAACAGCTGGAAAATAATCATTCACTAGTCAACAAATAATAATAATGTATATATTTGTTTACAAACGTCGTCACTATAATATATAGGTATACCTATAATCTTTATAAAGGTCTGGGTCTCAGATTGTATGTGTTTTTGATGTTTATTTTTCACACATCGTCAATATTTAACACATGCCGATTTCATATCGATAACACTTCATAAAAGCACATTATAAAGAAAAATCCATTTCTAAAGCCGCGACTCAAATGCAATTCACAGACGCTGAAGCCAACACTGCTCTTCCTTCTAACTCTACGTATTAAATAGAACTTTGATATTTACTTATGTACTGTTTACAGGCCGCTATCAAACCAGAAAAAGCGAGAATCAGTAACATTAAAACGATAACTGAGCGAATACAAGACACATTCAAGTCGTTCACCTTTTCAAAACGGAGGTCGAGTCAGAAGACACAAAAGACGATTGTGTGATGTTATTACATCTCTGTGGAATTCGATTAAAGTGTAACTGTGACGAAAACATATTCATACAATCCAACTGAACAACGCCAATGTTTTAGTTTTATAGAACAGGAGGCTTATCTGGTGTTAAGTGGACGCTGCACATGGACACTCTCAATGCCAGAAAGCCCGCGAGTGCGAGTGCCTTTTCAGTATTGGTACGCATTTTGATAGACCCTAAGTCGAATTGGTTCGGAAATACTTCAGTGGGCAGCTGGTTCGTTATAGTGGTGGTGCGCGGCAGATACCGCCTTAGAAAACGCTCAGTTGTGGAACGGAGGACGTCGAGGTTTCGTATTCTGCCTCGACGTCCGAGAGAATTGCCTGTAAATGACAGATTTAGCTCAAATAATTCTTCCGCCCAGATAATTCTATGTGTGTCTATGGTCGTCAGTAGAAGTAATAGTGTATGATCGAAAGCCATGGGCGAAAAAAAAGAAGTAATAGTAGTCTATTGGCGCGAAGTTGGTATTTGCAATATTCCTGTGTTTAGGAAAATGACTAATTATGACAGTTTGTTGATAACGTCTCGACTGATTTAATTCATTAATTCTAATTATTGTTATTGATTACGATTTAAAAACCAATCAGCCAATAATTATTAATACAATATTTTAATGATAATCTTTATAAATTATGAAGCAATTAAACAGATATATTTTAAGTACATATAAGAAACCTACTTACATCCGTAATTACGAATGGTTAGTTAACGAATTAAATTACATCTGTGCTCCTAATTTAATGCCCGATTAGTTAACGACTGTTATAGGGCAGCTAATGGATTGTTTAGCTTCCTTTTGGATCTATGGCGAATCTATTTAAATATTCACTCAAATAGACTAGACTATCTGATAAATACAAAACTACCGTCCAAGGCCACCGTAAAGGTTTACAGGTCAAATTCATGCCGAAACAACAATAGTTACGAGTTGGTTTCAGTAATTAAAAAGCTGTTCTTCTACTTCCTGTTTTTTTGTATAGAACATGGGGCAATCAGGCAGGAGGCTCATCTGAAGTTACGTGATAACGCCCACGGGCACTCTCAATGCCAGCGGGCTCGCAAGTGCGTAGCCAGCCTTTCAAGAAAAGAGCGTACCTTCTCTTCTTGAAAGACCCGAAGTCGAATTACTATAATGTAACAATGTTTGTGTAATATTGTTTTATGTTGCAGACACAGAATTGTGTACAACGTAATAAGCTTGCAAAATTATTGTTTACACAGTTTTATATATGACATTCGTAATAACAAAGTACCTATACTATATATTGATACAATGCGGAGTGGTTATTTTTTGAATGACCGCGGTAACAGCGTCCGAAGGCCAATTAAATTTTGAAAATAATATTTTGAAGTCTAAGTCGTATAACTAATTAATGGGTGAATACACGGTGTACAGCATTATAATAAAACATGTGTGCACTCGAAATGTTTATCCCGAGCCATATCTTGATATACTTGAATAAATATTTCATTGATAATATTGATAAGATAACGTTTCAATCTGCTTTAAGCCCGCGACATGTGGATTTGAAAATAGTACCATGAAAATGGTTCTCAAACTTATCATGTCTTGAAAATGTTCATAGTCTTCCATTTGGCCTAATCATTATATAGGTCTCGTAATAACGCATTAGATTCTCAACGTATTAGCAATTTTATTTGCAAGTGGAGATGGAAATATTTTGAGAATCGTCTCACTACGATCAGGTAGTCGCTTAACAAAATAAAATAATTTCCCAAGGTTAAATATACTAAAATAACGATCTAAAATTATTCATCAATTGAAACATCGGATAGTAGAAAAACGGCTTTCAAAGAAACGGACTTCAAAAGACTTTTTCAATATTATTTATAAAATAGTTTGGTTATGCATATAATATCAGTAGATTATAGAGCAATATTATGTTATTTGACGATTGTTTTAGGTTTACCTCAAATTTTTAAATAGTTCTTTCATATTTAACTTCTAATAAATGTATAATGTCTTAGAGGTGCGTTTTAGATAAACATTTCAACTTTTTTTTTGTGAATTACTCAATTTGTAACACACTGCGTATAGTTTGTTATTCGCCAACCTGCACTGCATGATGGCGTTATCATGGATTACAGGTTTATATATCGTTCGATGAAACGATGCTGCTTTAATTACCTCTTTATCGACAAGTGAAACCCGTATTAAAGTGTCAGTGGCAGTCAGAATTATTAAAATTTTAATTACCTAATATTACCGAAACTATGCCGTCTCGTTTACTACTTTGTATAACTCGTTTAGCCATCATTACTATGCCTACATCATTTGCCGATAGAATGTTATAGAAAATCAAAGGCTTTGTCGAAAGTACTAATTACTTTATAAAAAAAAATTAATAGTTTAATTTTTTTTGGCATTTCTTGGTTTACCAAGAAAAGTAATCAAAATTCAAGTTCCTTACTTGCTATATTATTTATCGCAAGTTTGCTGATAGAAACTGTATCAAAACATTAGAGTAGGTATTACGATGTTATAAAAGTAAACAATTTGTGTAATCATTTGGCAATCAAAGTGCCATTATGGTCGTGGGATTCAACCTTGTTGCAATTATGTATATTTGTATATGTACTTCGTTCTGATGGAAATAAATCCATATATCTTATTATTTCACCAGGAAGCACCCTATGTCTATGTGGTAGAATATAGTATCTCTCTTTGGTACGTAGCTCATATCTAAGCATCGCGGTGTCCGGTTTCTGTCTAGATGATAGGACTTGGTCGGTCCATCTATTTGGTGAACAGCCACGCGCTCTTTTTCCTTCTGTCTAACCAACCATAAATAGTTTCACACTTCTCATTGCCTCCGCGCATTGTATGGCCGAAATATGTAATAACTCGTGGTTTCTTAAGTCAAGACTTATGTATTTTTGCAGAACAACAGTATTATATTGATTTATGTTAAGTGAAGGCAACTTTTTTTATTTAATATGCCGTCGTTGCAAATATATATGTCACTAAAAACCTCGATAGAGCAGTATTGGTTAGCTTCAGCGTGCGACTCTGATGTGTCATCATCGACGACCACGAAACAGAAACAGAAAGGCCCATATCTAAAACATTGCCGCACTAACCACTTTTTATAATAGCTCGATGGTAAAAGTATAACATTCTAAATTGTGCGTAGTTTTGCGTGCCGAGTGATAAGTTTTCTCCAGAGGTTTCATTCAAAATCATAGAAAGATTATATGTATATCAAAAAAGTATCATATATGTATTGAAATCAATCCATTTAAAAACATCACCATAACGGTGTTGCAATTGTAACAATAAACCCGTGACCTAAAAAGTACTTGTTTTTAATATTGTCGCTGATTTAAATATTTTTATCGTAGTGTGTATAATGTATATATATATATATATATATATATAATATACAACTAGATTCCAAAGATTTTAAACTCCCGTATGAATCAGGTCACCTAACTTCGCAACTCTTGCCCTGAATCTAGAGCCCTTAGCGCGAAACTGAAAGTTTTCCGAATTTTGATATATTTTTTCCTTTTTAACTTTATCTTTGACATATTTTTTATTAACAGCGTATGGATCAATTTTAATTTAAAATATTATCAATCGTATATACAATTATTTTATTTTGTTTGTTAACATTTCGTCGCATGTACAGAAATATAATACAATAGATGTACAAATAAAAAGGAGGGTTACTGGCGGCCTCATCGCTTTCGGGCGATCTCTTCCAGGCAACCACTGTGAGAAGAAAAAATGAAAGATAAGGTTAGCGCAAGAAGTGCAAAAATACATAAAACATAGTTATTTAGACGAAACTAATGGAACAAAGCAAAGTAAATAAAACATATGTAAACAGTGAACAGGATCAATTAAGTGGTTTTTATAAAATTACCAAAAAACCTTTCAACCATTAAACGTTTCTAAGTACATTTTAAATTCACAGTATAATACCCCCATACGCTTCTCAAATAGGTCTCTCTGTGGCGAATAGTCGAAAAAACTATTAAGCTGCGAGAGTTGCTGCTGCTAGAATGGGAGCTTGTTGACGCTAGACTGTGCGAGTCGACACAGCAAAAAGGTTATAATATTTCCGGCAGCAGATAATCGTCCGAAACGCACTGTCTCCTACTCTCCCAGCAACTATGCGTTTTCCGTTTCACTATCTTCAAACTAAACTTGATTAAAGCTACGATGGTCTGGTGAGTCAAATTCAAGTACTTCGTAGGGTAAAGGTAAGGAAAGAAGTTTTAGATACTTTCTATTAAGTATATAGGTTTCGAAGGAACTTCTTTTTGTTTGTTTGTTTGATGTTACTAATGAGAAATATAGCACCCTAGTAGCAGTATCCGACAGGTTATAAAAACCGGTATAAAGGTAACGAAAATACATTAAATCTTCGAGGTCGTTTTTTACCGATTTATTAAAAGAGGATACGAAATAAACGTTGAAAATTAAACTCATTTGTTCGCTTTGTTCATTTAATAAAATACTCATTAGTAACTTCATTATTCTTTACATAACAAATTCATAATTAAAAGTCGTGTAATAATTAAGAATTTTTATATATTTAATGTCTAGTGCTTAATTTCATAGATCTTGCTAGAACGACGGTTTTAAATATAATAGAGCATTAAACATAGATCAGATTTCAAAATATTGCTATCTTTTTCGTCATCGAAGTTAATTAGTTTTAAGCAGTATTATTAAGGGTGTGAGATTGGGGAAAGTATAATTTAAATTAAGGACCTAATAACTTTAATATACATTCGTTATCAGAGTAACAGAATGATTCACATATGATGGAAAGAGAGGAATGATTAGAAGGAAATGACGTTAATCACATATAACGTTTTAATTTGTATATAAAACATTAAATTAAAAAAAAGTTAACTATAAATAGCAATACATTAAGTTATTTTAAGGCAAAGCATTTGCGAGCCCTCTGGCAATGTGAGTGTCTACTGTCTA